AACAATTCGGGTGAAAACTTTTCATTTTTATCCTTTCTATACAATTTATATGCATCAACGGCGATTTTCCTTTTTCAATTGAAAAATTAATTATTCATGAGGCAAGTAACACTTTGAAGGTGATGGTTAATTAGAAATAATACGACCTATAAAATTATATATATGCAAATTAGATGTATATAGGAGATAGTGTAAAGTATATAAAGTATACAGATAATATAATTGTAGTGTATTGATATAGTATACCTATTATTCTGTATTTAGTTCATTTTTTTATCACATTACAAATAATAAAACATAGTTTCTCATTAAAAAAGCTCTTCTAATGAGGTTTAAAGTAATTTATACTACATTTCTATATATTTTATAATGTACATATCACACGTATTTATATGTCTATACTACGTATTGTAGTATTATTCTTTGTGTCAATTAATTATTAAAGGAACAAACTTTTCTTCTTTTGGCTAATATTCACTATTTTCTAATCAAATTCATCCTTTTTTCATATATATTTATATACCATATAATAGTATAATTGTTACGTAACTCTTAGATATATACAGTATATGTATAATATGTACGCCAATTGCATATATTAATATTAATAAGGATCGTGTGACGCGTCCTTCCCTATTATACGGGTAACAATTTAAATGAGAAAGGAAGGGAGAAACGCTCATTAAAAGTGTCATATATATCACTCGTACTCGTTCGAAAATCATTTATACAACGACCTTTATAAAGTGATAAACACCTGCCATTGGATATTACGTAATCGATTTAAATCAACGCATAATTACGGTTTTTGAATAAAACAACAGAGGATAGAGAGAAGGAGAAAGCAAGAGAAATGAAGTAATGGAAAATGATGGTGGGGGGAAGGAGAAGTAAAAAAATAATGTAAATTGAAACTGGATTTTTACTGACTAATAACGAAAATCGACGGAAAAAAACGGACACTTGGAAGACGTTATCGATTCCGGTGGACGTCGGTCAATGGAGAAGGCACGTTCCATAAGCTTTTAGGAACAACACTTTTGTTTGTCAGCTGTGACGTGCGTTCGATTTTTCATATAAACGTAAAGACACAGGAAAGGTTGTAAAATAGTGAAACGGAAATTTACAATCTAATATTATCAGACATAAAAAAATACCCACGATTAACATCGAAACTAAAAACGCTAGACACCGTTAATCGAAATCGACGAAGGTCTATTAATATTATATGTATAGATTTTTCTTTGGGATAAAAAGATTTTTAGACGCCTATTAGCAGACTAGAACGTCTTAATAATATACTCGTCTAGACGGACACTGATGAAAGAAATCTGGGCTAGTGCAAGATATTTTTCAGAGTTTCTCCTGATTTCTAGTATCAATTGTATTATTCTTTAGTTTAATATTACAAATTAATCCGAGATCGTGATTGGTCCTTACTCTGATTTCTACCTCCTTTTCTCCTATTTATGTCCCACTTTGTGATAATAAAAACCAAAGGCCTTATATAAAAAATGGTATTGTTGCAGTACACGTTCTATTAATATGCATTTGCGAGGACTTATTGACTTTGTTCAGCTCATTTATTGATTTGTACGGCTGCACTAAACTTGTATAGGCTTAGTGTCTTTATTGTAAAAAATTTTAATCAACTAGTATAAACTTTCTATGTATAAATTGATAGTTAAAGAAGAATTTGAAAGGTTAACAGCGGAAAACGTAAAACTTTCCTAATAATTCATGTATAAGCTCATTGATAAGTTGTAGCCAATGCTTACAAACTGTATCATAATAGTAGAATATAGAAAAGTTCCTACTGATTATATTTTCATTGTAACATTATGAACACGTATTGAATTATTCAAGTAAGTATAAAAAGAAGATAGAAAGAAAAATGAAAACCACCTTTTTACTAATTATATAAATAATTATGAGTTATTGAAATAATTTAGAGAGAAAATGACTGTACTTTGTGTTAACATGTGCGTGTATATGTATGTGTAAGAAAGAACGAGAGAGAGAGAGCAGAGAAAGAAAGAGACAGAGGAAGAGATTTTACCGGGTTACATATCAAATTTGTTATCTATACTAAAGTAATTTGGTAAATTTTAAGTAATACGAAAATAATAGGATAAAAAAAAGAAAAATATTAAAGATAAAGTGCAACTCAAGTAGCATTTTAATTCTCAATAAAATACAATTAAAAAATAATTAAATCTTATTGTTAACAATACTACTACTACAAACATTAATAATATTGCTATTTATACATTACTGTACTGTTTATTTCATTGCTAAAGCTTGTAAAATTTAAAACTATGCTATGAATAACTTAAATATATATCTTATCTGATAAGAGAAAGGTAAAATTTTGTAATAAAGTTATAAGAATAAAAAACTAAAGTCTTTCTTTCTTGTTATTTTTGATTGCTAATAATAATAAATCTCCTTATTTTATCGTTATTAGTCAATTAGTTAATAATCTTAATTTATGTTGATTTTCTAATACGGTAGCAAAACAGCAATAAAGATTGAGGTAATATGAATATTTATAAGTTAATTAAAACAAATTTATTTCCCCCTTTAATATTTGAAGTTTGTCTATCGTCTAATATTGTTTGAACAACAAATTACCGACAAACACCGGGGTAAACATAAATAATGTAGTACATTTGCATTAACATGATTATTTTAGTGTAGTTCAAAATATATTTGAAAAATCGGGAATTTTATAAAAGCAAAATAGTAAAAATTAAAAGAACAATAGACAGTAATTAATGAAAAGATAATAGAGATAGATGGGATATGGGAGAGAGGGAGAGAGAGAGAGAGAGAAGATAGGTATAAAAAATATTAATCGATAATACTTAATTAGCATAATATTTTACATCAAATGTCTTTTGTTTAACAACATGTCTAGGTAATAAAAGGCTCAAGTACTTTGAAATATTACGTGTTACACCCGAAATAATCAATACATGTAATATTAAAAGTTGACAAAATATAAACAAAAGATTATATTTTATCGATTCAAACAAAAAGGTTAAATTGAAAAGCGTTTCATTCTAGTATACCAGTATATATACTTGTATATATATTTAATGACAAATTACCTAATATTAATATCATAACCTTTAATAATTGTATGATAATTGAATGAATAAGCACAAAAAAAACCTATACGGTCTAAAATAACTTACTGTACCCTATTTCGTTTATATTTCTTCATCTCCTTTTACTCAGTTTCTATTAATACTTCTATTCTTTTCAATATTATTATGATATTAGCATATATATATTAATATATGTATATACAATACTTATTTATTTTCTGTTTTAACTTAAAATAAGGTATTTTTTTTCGTGGCTTATCGTTCGATAAATAAACTATATTAGCTTATATATGAAGTATAGCGGTTAGCATAGGCCTGAGGAATTTTTTAAATATGTTCACTCATAAACGAATAGCGGGGTCATAACAAAAGTCAATTGTTTGGTAGATAGAGAAATTCTGTCGCACGTTCCAACAACACGTATTGCTTTGCTAAAACATTGAGAGGGAGAAAAATATCTGAGTATTTCCCATGGGGAAGCCCATATTTTTTTTTGTTTATATATATTTTACATACCTAGTATTAGGCTTGTAGATTGTATTTACAAGTATATATATAGAGAGATAAGTATAAATAAGGATACAGATTTGTGTATAAAGTAATCACTTGCATTCAGTAGGTAATGTTTTCCTTTGAACTTAAAAAAAATACTATTCTTAAGCGTTTAAGAAGGAGGGAGAAAAAAAGAGAAAAAAAAACTTTTTCCTACTTCTATGACCTTCTTAACCTATTTTTTTTTTTATTTATTTCGGAAGTTATTAATGGTAGAAAGAGAAACGATTTTGGGCTTTTCTCTATATTTATTTAGTTATATTTATAAGGAAATCCGTAAGACTGTTCGTTATTAACCTTGCTAATCAAATATTAAGGGCGAAACGACACGCGATACCCCCATAGTGCTGGGGCTACAAAGCTCTTATTCTGTATTGTTGTAGTTGATGCAAAAGGTAAAGTCAATGAATGTTTATTATTAAAATGTCACTAGTTTCTTTCAAAGAACGCCCTAGGAACGGACGTAGTGCTCCCCTAGGCCTATAATAAATCATGGTAAACTTATCCCTTCACTGAAATAGTAACGACCGAGTAAGCGTGATGTATGTCTCTAAGGACTTAGGCTAAGAATATAAAAAGAACTAAAGAAGGGGGGAGGGAGGAGGTTGAGTAAGAAAAGAATGGATATAATAGGTAGGCGGAATGAGCATATATAACTAAAAGAGAAAGGATATCAAGCAAAGAAAACATAAAAAAATATAAGAGATACACTTCACGTTTCAAAGGAGAAGTTAATTTTTTAAGAAGTAAAAGAGAACACATGAAAAAAAAAACCAGGGAAACGAAAAAAAAAATAAAGAGAATATATATAGTGTACACATTCCCTAAGGGTTCATGGGCTACACGATCCGAGATTTGAGATGACCTTCACCCTTTTACTCATTCGTTTTATCCCTTTCTTTTAGAAAATTGAATAAAAATTTATCTAACATATGGACACGGCATGAATTATGTTAAAAATAGTAAAAAACTTATTAATCTATGGTATTTTGTTAAAGTTTATGAATAATTAATAATTTTTTTTAAAAGAATACAAAGAAATATATTATTTTTTATAAAAAAACAGTAATTTTTAATGAAAATAATGAGAATTATATTGAGATCTTTTTCGTATTTAACTCACTTTTTTTTAAATATCTTTAAAAAGAAAGATTTCTTTATTTTCTACTAAAATATAGGAAAGGAAAAGAAAAGTGGAAGAAGAGTGTTTCTAATAAAAATTTCTTTAAAATAGCCTTTAAATTTTTGAAAAAGGCATTCAAGCGATCGAAATAAGGTTGAAAAGCAATATTTGAAAACTCTACGCTCCCTTTTGTAAATCTTTTAATCACTCACCGTCAAATTGTTGAAGAGCCTTTTTAAACCAGCTCGAACTACTGTCCGTATTATTTTTAATAATATCCTCCAGCGTTAATGCGGCATAGTTTTTATATTTTTCCTCCACCTGCTTATTACAACAAGACAATTGCCTTTTTTCACTGCAAAGCGTTGCTGTTCGATCTAGTTTTTTTCCAATAACAAAAGAAAAACAAGAATTAGCTTTTTTTTTTCATATACGTATATTTGCTGCTTAATTGATTAAGAAATATTAATTAAATACCTTGAACTTTCGACCTCGGAACGTCGATAAAAGTTAAATCATTTCTGGTAAAATCCCTTTGAGTTAGAGAGCAATCCGAGGAAAAAGTTTGGGGGAGGAAGAGAAGAATAATGAAGGCACACAGCGTGTGCATAGTCATCCACCTTTGTTCATGAATTATCCGATTAGAACAAATTTATATTATTGTGTTTTTATTAAGGCCTAATCTCGCTTTGTTATATTTTTTTCCCTTGTCTTCTTTTTTATGTCTAACTATTGACGAAACCGACAAGATAAAGTCACATAGTTGTACGCGCGCGCGCTGGTTTCCTTTTGATTTCAGCTGTCCCTAGATGTCGCTCTAGTGTATGTGGTTGGGTTTTTTATCGAAATATATAACGAAAAATACGTAAAAGAGTAAAAGAGTCGTTAAAATGAGCAGACCTTTTCTGTTATTTGTGTTGAATGACTTGGTGACTTTTTTATTCAATAGATAAACGAATGAATGTCGGAAACTACTCACGAATAATATCCGGCTTACAATAAGTATAAACCATACATAACACAAGTTTCATAAAATCACAAGTACAAGTAAACAAGTGCTTAACTTGTTAGAGACAGGCCAAAATTAGGATAAAGTAATTGTTAATTTGCTTGTTAAAGTATTACATCAGTGACAAGAATTTTTAATTTCTAATGCTATGTGACTTGGCTATATCAATATATTTAGCATACAGAGACAGGATAATTATTGTAAATTATCCTAAATTATATATAATATAACCATTTTTTTACAGGGTGGACTTATTGATTGTCTAGCTTCTATTTTCGTTTTGTTGTTTAAGTTCAATTCTCTTAATTAGCTTTTATGATATTTTTGGGAGAGAAGAATAGAGAGAGAGAGAGAGAGAGAGAGAGGGAAGGGTGGAAGGAAACGGGAGAAATAATAAATAAATTCAAAGGTAAGGGAGAATGATTTCTTCTATTCAGATATATATAAATAAGAGAGACAAGAGAAGAATAACAAGTAAACGTATATATGTAAATAATTAAAGAAAATTTAAAATAATTAGTTTATCATCTATCCTTTCGCTTTCTTTCAATGTTAGCGATAATAGAAATTAATGCAATTAAAGTTAAAAATCTTCTATCTATACAGTTTATATAAATAAATATATTAATTAATCTTTACATTCTATTCTATTTCTTTATACCAGTTTTCATAATTATAACAAGTATTTAAATTATACATTAGTGTATATATATATATATATATATATATATATATATATATATATATATAAAGAATGTTCTCGTTCTCATGGAACGAAGAGGTTTGTCTTTCCCTTCGAGAAAAATTCTCATTAAACTCTCTAAGGTAATAGTTATGAGAAATTATATATATATATATATCTTTTTAAACTATAGGCCGATATAATAGTATAAAGAACTTAAAGAGGAGAGGAAAGAAAACTCCTGTATTATTAAAAAAATATATCATATGGAAAAGATAAGAATTTCGTTTATATCGTAAAACCTCTATTTAAAATATTGTATAAGAGGTACTTTACAGATAATAAAATCAATTTCATTACTTTTATTCTCTTGGTCTGGTGTATATTTTGTTCTTTTTATAGTAAAAAACAATAAGAAATAGGTAATTCGCCTTGCTTTATTCTTATACAATTGTTCCGAAAGGAAGGATTTGTTGTTTGTATTTCTTAGTCTTTTTTATTATATTTATAATAAAAATAATAAAATGGTTTACCTTCTTATTCAATAAAATTAACAGTTTCAGATTTCTGTTGTTCAGAATAATATGAAAGAAATTGTTAAAATTAGGATTAATTACTAAAAAATCCAATTAAAATATATTTTCTTCCATTTTATGATCATTCAATTCTATTATTTATACTTTTATGGTTATTTGTTTTATATTTTTCTCTTTATTGAATTGTGCACCCAACCGCTAGTATATCTTTCTGCTATTTGAATGATAGTAGCCCCCTCTATTGGACAAGCGAATTGAAATATCCTCGAGATGTTGCTACGTGAGTTCTATCGAGCAGACGACAAAAAGAAAGTCCAGCGAATATTCATCGGAAATGGTGAAAATTGATCACTATTTACGTGAAAATGGGCGAAAAAAGGAGCAAATCTAAATTAATTAAAATTACACTATTAATTATAGCATTATCGTTATTGTTTATATGGGGTATATTCTACTCTAGAAGAAGATGTTTCGGTTCTTGTCTGTCTGGAACTCTCACTGATAGTAAATTGGACAAATACAATTTGTTAGAAAATGAAGAATACGTTTTAGTATTCCTTCATATTCAAAAAACTGGTGGTAGCTATTTCGGGAGGCAGTTAGTTAAGAGTTTATTGATGAGGAAACCTTGCAAATGCGTTCCTGGAAGGAAACGATGTAGCTGTCTACATAAAGGAAACAATTGGATATTTAGTAGATTTTCCACAGGTTGGGCTTGTGGTTTACATGCAGATTGGACGGAATTACATGAATGTATTGATAAGAAGATGAATAGAATAGAGAGAAAAAGGAGAAAGAGAAGGTATGTTCTTCGTTAGTAGTCGTAAAGGGGTAAATATTTTCCAGGTTATTCTTATCGCTTTTAAGATAAAAAAAAATGGCAAAAAGAAAATAGAGTACTTTTGATTAATAGGATAGAGAATGTTTTTTATATAAAAGACCTAAATTTGACAGAAGATGTAAGAGTTGGAAATATTTTCTTTTATATTATACAAGTATATTAATAAATTTACATTACAAAACAAATCAATATCCTTCAGACCTCTTCATCCTAATATTAGGTAAAGAGGAAAGAAATACCAAATTCTTGATATTGATGAATGTGCAATAATTTATTATATACGACGCTAAAAGGTTGTTAAACTTAAGGTAGCAGACAATTACCAGTTATTTAATAAAATTCTATAATATTAGCAAGTATATTTAGCTAATTTAAACATTTCCTATGCTTTTTTCCTATAACAAATATTCCTTTATTTATTCAATAAATCACCTATAAAATTTTTATTGAATATTTTAAGGATTACTATTCAAAGTATATTAGTGAATAATACATTAATCTTCCATCTAGGTGTTTTCGTATATGCAATATATACTGTATGTGTATATAATGTAATATTGCATAAATTTATCTATCCAATTAACTACTAATTCTCTTGATGTATATTCAGCATAATACGATTAGTAATGATGTGTAAAAATACGTTAGAACTTGAAATTATATACGAAAGAAAATTCACAGTTTTAATCATCTTCCCCCTTTTGCATCTTTTTCTATCTTCTTAAAATTCTTACCATTATGCAAAGTTCTCTCTCTCATTCTATTTCTTATTATTGACGTTTATTATGCTTGATTAAAAAAACGTTACAGGAAGTGTTCTTGAAGATTACTCCATTAATTTCTATATTATAAAAAGAACAATAGAGACAAATAGAATTATGTAAAAAATAAAAAAGTTGACTATGACAAGGATTACTTGACAGCGTTTTTAATCTTCCAATTTCAACTTGACAATAACGTTACATAGTTTCTGGGGCATTTTTTTATTAGAAATGTTAAAATATAGGATTAATTTCTGCAAATTTTCAACTCTTGTTAACTCTAGGGAGACAGATAGGAGATTGTAAATTGTATATATATATAGTTATCGTACGAGAATCTTAGATCATTGGAAAGGATTATTACACATTTTTTCATTAATCCATCTATAAAGACTACAAAAGTAAGATAGCAAGATAGATAGAGAAATGAAACGAGAGAGATACATAGCTAGACAGACTGAGTGATGGGCATGGAATGATAAATCGATTTGGGATACACAATTTTGTCGTTATTATGTAAATTTTTACTAGATTTAAATTACAAATCGTTGTAGTAGTGTTTCTGCCTTTTGAATTTTATTTATGAATCGACTTTTACAACAGTTTTCATTTATACTTTCTATTCAAATATTTGACATTGTATTTTATCAATTTGTTATTTGAAGTAAATGATTATCTTCTCCATAAGCATAGTATACTATACTATACTATTTCACGTACCTGTGTTTTTTCAAAAATAACCTTTCGACATGATCTGTCAATTCTCATAAATCCCATAATGACATTAAACTAATTTCTCGCCTTCGCTCAGATATCTCTACATAACGAACATTAGAGAGCCTGTTAAGAGATACTTAAGCGAGTGGAAGCATACTCAACGAGGAGCTACGTGGAAAGAAGCTACACTCTCGTGTCAGGGAAAGAAATATAGAAATTTAATACCTAAATGCTATAAAGGTCAGCTTTGAAGGTTTCTTCATAACATTAGTTGTATTTTTTATTAATTTTTCATGTTTATAGGTCAAAATTGGAAACGTGCAAGCTTAAAAGAATTCTGCTCCTGTCCTTATAATCTTGCAAATAATAGACAAACCCGTATGCTGTCAAATCTCTCTCTAATTGAATGCTATAACTCATCTTTACCAGTTAACGTTCAAGAAGAGATTATGTATAATTCAGCAAAGAAGAATTTGCAAGAGTTAGCTTTTTTCGCTCTAACAGAATATCTGGTTGAATCGCAATTTTTATTTGAAAGAACTTTTAAGACCAAGTTTTTAATTAATTTTGTTACCAGCAACGAAACTAAAGCGGATACAATTGAACTTTCAAAAGGAGAGTTAAGACTTGTTCGTCTGGTTAATAAACTGGATGTAAAACTGTATAAATTTGCAAAAAAACTATTTTTTAAACGATATAATGCAGCTAAAAAAGACTATTTTGATGAAATGGGATTCGAATATCAGTCAGAGAAAGATATTATTAATAACACAGCATTAGAAGATATATTAGAAACAGCTACCGATGAAGACATAAAGAATATTAAAAAGAATGGTCTTTCCTTGCTCAAAAGTACAAATAAAATCTTAAAAATTTCAAATAAAACAAAGATCACATTGAGAGCCTTATCTAAAAAATCATCTCTCAAATGAACAATATCGCCTTTTGCCAATAATTTTTAATCACTTTTTAATTGTTTTCCATTCGTTAAGTAGCTTGTTTGCTATTATTTCAACAATTGTTTTGAGTTTTTAATACATTATTGTCTTTTTAAAAGTTTTGTTTTCAATTTTTCTCTTCTTTTTTCGTCTTGAATAGAAGATTATGATATTATTTTTCATTGTATATTTTCATCGTTCACAACGAGAATAAATCATTTTGTTTCTGTTAAGCCTATATACTGTATGTTATTGATTATTGCTTGGAATATATTTTCCACGTCAAAGTTTTTATATATCTGAAGTGAAAATATTATACACTCTATATAATATTTGGTTAATACAACAGCGAGATATTAATTGCTAATTTACTGATATTATTCTATTATATCTAATATACAGTATATATATATACTGTGTATTGCATAAGATACGCTTTAGCCTCCGGTTTTTCTTTGTTTGTATACTTGAAAGCAGACAGTTTATATATTATACTTTTCACTTTTTGCTTTTGTCAATATTTTCCTTCAATTTTTGATTTACCATTAAAAATATAATTTGTACAGAGTCAACAATAAATACTTTCCTTTTATTTCTATTTTCATTGCTACAGCAAGGTTACTCTACACAAAGCTCTAATTACATTAGCTTTTGAGTGTTTCAAAGGGAAGGCATCTAGAAGGTTTTTCTCTTTTCTTACTGTAAAAGAAAAAAATTGAAAGTCGATGTTCTTTTTATCAATAATTTTATGAGGGATATAGACGATTAGGAGAAAGGGAGTGAATGGTCCCATTGGGGTTAATGCCAAGGGCAATTGATAAGCCCCTATGGTTTTATAAAATGAATATAACATAAATGAGTACTGAATAGATTCATTAAACCTAGCTTTTTTAGTACGAATAATATCAAAAATGCCCAGAATAATATATAAGAATGATTAGATTAAAACGTCCTTGACTTTCATATAAATTCTGCAGAGATCGATGATGAGTATATCAAAGAGACTTTATTCTTAATAAATTAAATTAAAACGTTTTAAACAAATAAATTAAATAATCAGAAAATAGCCACAAGCCAACATATTAAAATTTATTACAAGTTTGTAATTACACTACTGCCGTCGCTTTTCTTCCTTAAATCCAGCTGTTGCATTTCCGATGAAGGATCAACAATATTATTTATGTAAATTACATACATACATATATATATATATATATATAAACAAGTAAAGAATCTACTAAGATTCTGTTTTCAAACTGAAAATTTTCTTTTAATGAGGTGAAACTGTAAAGTGAAAAAAAGCAGACCAACTGCAAAGTAGAATGGTTTGGTTTGTTTTATTTATTTTAGTTTTTTTCTTTTTTGCGAATGGCATATTATGCTTGGTAAAGAGTGAGAGAGGGGCTAAGTTATTAAAAGGAGGAAAGGATGGAAAGAGGAACTGTTTTGTTCTTTTTAAAATAATGATACATTTTCATTAGGGAAACAATTAACTGCAAGTGTTTTTTTTTATTCGTCTTATTATTAATAAATTCATTCGTTAAATTTTATTCAACGAACTTGTGTTTGTTTAGCTTTTGCCTTTACCAACAATATAAAAGATTCCCCGCGGAATTGATTACAAAAATTTCTCTTTCCTTATTATTTGTATGCTTTTTTCATTGTCTTTACTTTTACGTTGATTAATGATGTATTAATCTTCTAAAGTAAAGTATCTTTTCACATAAATTAATTGAATACTTGAATAATTGAAAGACAACTGCTTTAGGAACATTATTGATCACTTAGGCATTTGTTTATGGTTGTTTACATTTCAATGTAAACAAGGAAGCTCTGCCTTGTCCAAGTAAAGTTTAATATTAATATAGAATTTCCGATGTTTCTGTCCAATTATACGTAGAAAAGATAACAGTAAAAACTATATAGAAGTTTGCTTACACCAATAAAAAGAAATGTTAAACTATAATGTATTTGTTAAGTATTAAATTTAAAAGTGAAGTTGAAAAGTATGAAAAATAACAAAAATTGGTAAATAGAATAGTCTCCTCTTCAATTTTTTCCCCTACTCCCGTTCCCCCCTTAGAAATAAAAGATTAGGCAGAGGATAAAAAAATATATTGACATCTAATTAAAAAGGATAATATCTTTTTTTCCGTATTTAATTCCCCGGATAATTCTAATTCCAGTTTTTGAAAAAGGAAAAAAATAACTAATCACATAAAATTATTAGGTTCTGCAATCCAAATGAAATATCTTTCTTGTTCAAACATTCCTTTTTATCATTGTTCTTAAAGGGAAAGTTATTAATTTTACTCTGATAGATAAATCGTTATAAAGACAATGGTATCATATAAAATTCTTGAATAATTAATTATTATCTGTCAATTCTTCATTCTCTCTTTTTTTGAAGAGATTAGTTAATTAATACACTAATTAATTCTTAATTACTAACTCTCCTTAATTTTTCCATTTTCCTTTACTAGTAGTACTAAATGCGTAGATTTCAAATTGGAATATTAGTTTTCCTAAATGAAAAAATAGGTAATATATTACTTCAATGGCCTATTTCCTGTTAATTATAAAATGATATATTTTACATTAAAAGTTTGACCTCTCTGTTGATTTTATTTAATATAGTCTATTCATAAAATTCATTAAATTAAACAATCTCTCCCCAGAAAAGAAAGCTCTGGCCTGAAGGTTTCGCCTCTTCCTCTTCTCAAAAAGGCAGACCCATTTGCTAGTATAGAAGATATAAATTAGACAAGTGATTTTTACTTTATACTCTTTTTTTTCAGTAAAAATAACTATAATCAATAAAGAGAATGATGATATGGATTGATCGAACATTTATCCAAAATACTTTAGTCGATAATCTATAATAAAAAAAAAATATAGTAGTAAATCAACTGGCTGAAAACTAGTTTATCGAATAGAGAATAATCAGCATAAAAGGGTCATATGAAGTATATTTAGTTACGCAATTTTCGTCTTCTTCTTCATCTTTTTCTACTTTTTTTGTTTGCTAAATAAATTAAATAGAATGACAAATAAATAAAAAATAAGTTAAAGGTTAAATAGTTATTTCTCCTCTCTTTCTCTCCCTCTCGGTACGTTGGATACTTATATTATTCGTTACTATTTGTATAGATCACTTTCTTCCTTTCCATTCAGTTTAAACATGATTATAGGCACATAAAGTAGAAGATTTAAAACTGCCCTCTTTTGATTATGGGCATCTGTTATTGCAAAATCTTAATAGTAGTCATCTTTCCTGTAAGGTGATTACAGAGTTTCCTCTATTGAATTATCGATCATTTTCCCAGCAGGTAACCAATTTTTGGCCAATTATCGAATTTGTAAATTAAATTTTATAACAATCGACAAATACACTTGTTCATTTTAATTCGTTAATATACGTTTATATTTATATATATATAGTTAAATTGTTAGAAAGGTTTTAAAAACAAAAATCTAATTTTTTATTGTCACAAAACATTAGCTTCTCATTATGAAATTGCAGAATCTAATCCATTCCAGTGTTAACTGTGCTAAAATAAAAGTGTAAAACTGGAAAATACACTAAAAAAGAAAAAACATAAATTCTTATAAATCTTAAGAGATTCCTTCTTCTATACGTCTAGGGAATCGTTCAATTATTGATTTATAACAGCTTATAATTATAATAAATATAAAGAAAAAAACAAAGTGTACAGTCTAACTTTTTAATATCTTAAACTGTTATATGTTTGATATGTAAATTTATTGAATCTAACTACTATTTTAGGAGGGATTTTCATCGTATAAACATCAAATCCATTTCTATTACTATTTTTCAATGTCTAATTTCTAATATCCCCTTATTTTAGCATTATAAAGCACACTAATTTTACCACAATCGAAAGGAAATAGTATGAATATCTTTGTTAAATTATATATTATTAAATGATCTATTAGGAAATATATATAAAAAAGAGTTTAAGAGTTTAATATATGTTTTATAATAAATCTATATTTCGGGTATAAAGCTATATTTATATAAAGATAAGAATTTTTATTATAATCAAACTCATATCCACCGCTTTATTCATTACAGTAAAGATATATATATATGTTAAAATATTAATATTTAGCTTATTGAAAATAGTCATTGACGTTGTCCAGATGTTGGAAAATTTTAATTAGGATAAGCCTATCATTTATATACCTATTTGGTAATGTTATTGTCCTTTCTAACCTTGTTTTCTACTCTCTCCTCCACCCGTTCCAAAAAAACAGATTTTAGACTCAACAGTGGATTCTATCAGATCTTTAAATCCCTAAATTAGACAAAATCCACCCAATATAGTATTTAATTAATCTATAATGTATAGATAAAAAGATTAGAGTTTATTTCAACAAATACAACTAAAGTTGCTGTATTTTTCAGTTATGTATTTTATTTATCTGTTCTGTAATATTGAAAAAAAGATTTCCTTTTCATGGAAAGATTCATTAAAATTTTTATAGACTTAAGTTAATCCTTTCATTTTTAAACTATCTAATTAATTATCATACTACTTTGGATTGTAATCTTAATCCTCAATTCTCTTTCCCAGGGGCGATTTTAAAAAAAAATTTACAAGGCCATTCGAAATAAGGAAAAATACATTCTTTTGATGAATCTGTTATTCAGTTGTTCATTTTAAAAAGACCAATAACTGAGAAAGTAGAATGCTGTGTAGCTTATCACTTAAACGACTTGCCGTTCTATTAAAGTTCGCAAAACGTCAAATATTTCTTTAAATAAACGTTCAAGGCAAAATCTACAAAGTATATATGCTCTCATATTTACATATTTAAAAGAAAATTTTTGCTTATTGAATAACTAATATAATATGAAAATTACATATGTACAGTATAGATATATACTTTGCATCGGCTGTGTCTCCTTATGAATATTGCAGAATGTAAGGAATAGAATCAATCTTCAAAGTTTAGACAATAAAACTAAATGGTTGGACCAATTCTCTATGGAATTAATGTAATATGGAATGATTTTGAAATAGACACGTCATTCATTACATATATTTATATGAATTTGGTATTCGATACTATTCTAGGCATTAAACAATGGTAGCCAATTCACTGTTGTTAACATACATACAACTCTCTTAAATTGATGACAGCAAATCCACTAATAAGAGTACCGAGAAAAAATATTGATAAGATCATATCATCAGGTATAAATAAATTGTAAACAAAGGATTCTTACTACCGCGATTTTCTTCCTAGCATTACATTTAACTTTTAATAACAAACCAAAGTAAAAGGGAATAAGATCATTTGCTACATTCAATTATTACTTCTTGATTCATGCTTCAATTCGAAGACAGTTAATATGGTTTATCATTAATACTGCTCAATAAACTCTTGAACTCTTTCAAACCTTTTTATGAAAATAATAAGCTAATCAATATACTACTTAGTTGCTAATTTTTTTAAACAATAACGTTCACTTCGTTGATTAGCAAATTACTTCATCAGTGTGTTGAAATTGAATCCTTAGAGCAAGGAAATTAACTACTTTAGATCTAAGGCAGTTTTTCAGTAAAGATGTTACAAAAACGTGTATAAAATCCCTGAAATATTCATCTAAGTATACGCTAAGTAGACGAATACTACTGAAATAAACATGAACTAATCGTCGTTAAGCAGATAATAATTTTTTTTTCAATAGGCCATATAATGTAAAAGTTTACCCTAATTTAACATTCAAATTTCAATAACTTATGAGTTCAATAAATCAATTTTAATCGATTCCTTCTAAAAGTTTAACAATAAATGGGTTCTTTGTATTTTATGTATTCAGTTTCTTATATTCAATACGCTATTAACAAAATAGAGATCTCTTTTCTTTGTTTGATATCGATATAAAAAATATTTAATAAATCATTTAAATGAATAATAACACTTTTTCTTTAATTTTTACCTTTTACGCCCCAAAAATACCTTCTATTGATAAGATTTTATTGAATTATTACTATTTCTAGCGTAATAAAAGTACTAATAAACGTAGAAGTTGTAAAAATTCAACAATAAATCTATAATCTATTTAAATGATCCATAATTTAAATTTCCTTTTATTCTAAGAGAAGTTTCTCACTCTAGAGATACACAGGGATAGATATATAGATAAAGAGAGTCTAACAATAGAAAATAAATTTATATATTAACTTATAAAGCATGTTGCAGATACGTATGAAAAAGATCAATCATTGATTAGCAAAAGATGAGATAAAAGGATTGAGGTAACATTTGAAACTAACGATATGAAAAACTAAAAAGTCTTTCTAGGAAAAATAGCTTAAGGTTAATAAACTCATCAATCTATATTTCCTACCATATGAGATTAACCTAGATAGGTTTTCTAGCCATTTGATTAATGAATAAATAAATATGTCTTCATAGAAAGATGCTCTATTTCGTACGATGTGAGGACAATATATAATTCTTTTTATAGTTCTCACATAGGGAATAATTTCGTCTCTAAAAGAAAACAAGACTCTCTGTTACTCTAGTATTCAGACAAGACGATGTGATACAGTTTACTAAACCACAAACGTTTCTACGTTCGTTGGATAAAGATTCGCTGATAAACATCCCCCTGCAATATTTAGTATGACTTTTATATTTGATTGACTAACAAATTAAGCACTTGTATAAAATCTTCACTTCCGTTTACACTAAATTTGGATATTTTTCTTGTATTATATATTTAAAAATAGCTGTTACACTGTCTAAAGTCCAAAATGGAATGATTATTAATTCATATTTCACTTTTGATTTCAATCTAAAAAGATTAGACAGCATTATATTGCAAAATTTAGCTATAGAAACTTATAGAAATGACTGCTTATCTCTTAACAATTAGTATGTCATTTCTTTACATTAAGATAACTGTAGTAATCTGTAAGAGATTATACTTTATTAATTAAATGTTTAATTATTTAAATTGATAAGAAAGATTATATTTTCATTGAGAAAAAAATCATATATAAATAGTAGTAGAAGCTTTAAATTCTTATTTACAAAGCTGAAAAGAGAGGACCGGAAGAGATTGAATTTTAAAAATGAAAATTCTATTGATTTTCTCAGGTTTTGTACATTTAGTTGTAAATTGAATATTAATTTAATGTTTTTTTTTATTGTAGTTCTCTTATTTGTTGGACAAGCTCTTTCCAACTATGTTTGTCCTCGTGACGAATATTTGAAACCTGTTGATGGCGCGTTTGCTGATCCTAATAATTGTGGAATCTTTTATCATTGTACAAACGGTACTGCCTACGCTCAACAATGCCCACCTGGTTTACATTTTACAATATTGAGAAAAAATTGTCAATTCTTTACTTGTGTTGATCCAAAAGATGCCGATTGCCCTGGAAACAATTCCGTAAACGATGCAGAGTTTAGACCATGTTCTGAAAGTACACCGGTCGCCCTCAATTCGGATCAAGCTTGTTACAGCAAGGATAATGAATGTCAAATCACAGTGAATGGAACTTTTCCGAATAAGAAAGATTGTAGACAATACTATCATTGCGTAAATGGAATCGCTTGGCCTCAACAATGTCCCAATGGACACTACTTCAGTCCATCATTAAATGTAAGAGATTGTAATTCAAAGTTATGCGTTCCACTGGAAGAAGCACAGTGCAGCATTAACGGTAATTGGTCAACTTGGTCTGAATGGGAACAATGCGAGCCATCATGTGGTGATGGTATTAGCATACGTCGACGAAGCTGCACCAATCCTCCTCCTTCTAATGGAGGAGCAAACTGTGAAGGTAGCGAATACGACATCAAACCCTGTATTAGTGAACCTTGTAGACTCTTGTCTCAGCCATCTTTTATGGTTGCCCAAAGAAATCTTGACACATATTCACAGGGAATCATTCGTTGGAGTAAAGTATGGTATAATTTTCAAGATCTCTTTGATCCCGAAAAGAATAGCTTAAATATTTCTGAGAGCGGGTTTTATATTTTATCATTGTCTGCCGCTTTAGCTTCACGCCAAGGAATTACATTTAGACAAACAACCCCTCAAAATAATGGTCTATATAGGAGAGCTGATGGAAATAATATTTATGAAGAGGATATGATATCTCAAACAGGAATTCATTTTTTAACCCGACTTAGCTCACCATTAATTCGTCAAACTTCTTCTTCAACTCGCCTATTCAGCTCTTTAAATGGTAGAGAAACATCTTGGTCCGGTTTTAAATATGAATCAAATAACGTTCTCTATGCGGGTACTCTTAGTTCCATAATCTATCCTTCAAAGTTACGTTTGGAGAGAATTGCCACAATTAGGGGCTTTTCCCAATCTGATAATAAGGAAGACTTTAAAACGTCAGAGGGTGGTTGGTATTACATTAATTTTGGAGTGGGTTTCTATCAAAATCGAATGGCCCAAATTGCTCTTCAAATTAACAATGAAGTTCAATTTAAGAAGACATTAATAAGATCACATACCAGTTACTCGACCCGTGACCAAGGATCTAGAGGATTAGTTGTAAGACTAAATTCATCGGATACCATTGGTTTACGTTTCATCAGCGGTGTTATTTATTCCGGAAATAGCCTAGTAACATATCTAACAGCTTGCAAACTAAATAGTTCAGATGGCTCTCCTCTATTATACGCCTATAGAAAAAATGACTTTTCGTCATCCCAATTCTCATCATTAACCTATAATACTACTGTTATTGATACTACAAATTCGTGGAATGGTGAATATTATACCGCAAATATATCAGGCTTGTATCATGTCGATATCTCTATTGGTCTTCAGTCGAGAAAAGATGCTCATTTAAGAATATATGTAGACAATGAAGAAGTTTTATCACTCCTTCGTTATTCAAGGCTTCATTCAGGTATCGATACAATATCTAGAACAGGACTAGTTAAATTGAAAAGAGGCTCTAAATTGCAAATAAAAGCAAATGGTGATTTAGCAAGTGATAATAAAGAATTAATATCGATAACTATATTTCTAATATCGCAATGAATATCCTAATATAAATATATAATAAATGATAATATAATCTTAATATACTCTGTTAAAATAGTTTATTATTTAGTTATTAAACGTTAAAAAAGCCTATTCTACTTTTCCATACTACTGGAGTTTGAATAATAAATACCCAATCTCTATTTTAAATAACAATGAAAATACAATTGTTACGTTTTCAGAGTCTGAGCTACTATTATAGTTTTCTTCAAAGACGTTAAACGGAGTATGAAAATATTCAAATACTCTTCATTTTGCTATAACATAATTTGATAGATAATTCTTTTTCTGTTACCCTTCATATATCAACTGTGTTTGTATATACCTATACATCCTTTCAAATAGGTTCATAGATTTTCAATGGGATTTAGACCAAAACTCTGGGCTGGCTAATCTCGCAGGTATTTTTTCTTGTTTTTCCTTAAGTATTACAGGATACTTTTTAAAGTATGGCATGTTGCTTCATCTTGAACTAGCACACACTATCTTTTACAATATGATCTCTGATAAATCTCCTGATATTTTGAGAAACTAAGGTTGCTTTTATACAAATCCCCCCTCTTCTACCATCATTTTTTATGGAACCCCATCTTTATAGATATGTATAGAGAAGCATTTGCCTCTCATGCATACTCAAATAGAAGAGCCTTTTTGGAAACGTTTTCCTATTAAGGAAATGTTTTTTTTTCAAAAGAGGTTTTTAGCTGCCACATAGCCTCTTAAGTCATCTTTCCTTAATATCCTATTGACGATGGAAGTGAAATCCAAAGTGAGATGCCACCAAAACTCATTTCGTGAACCAGAAGGGGGTTTCTTTTGGATATTAGGCACAATTTTCTTTCGTGCCACTTACTTAACTTGAGAACCTTGAGTGTTATCGGAAGATTTTCTATAGTGAAAAACTTCTGAAACTTTTCCAAATCTTTTCAGCACACCTCAGCAATTTAATTTAAAGATATCCCTTCTTTAATGCTATCAAATAACGAATTGCTTTATTAAAAAAACTGTTTTGACAAGGTAAATAGTATCTAAAACGGAATGGATAGAGCGCTTTCCATCCTACTTTTTACCTTATATAACAAGTCTTATCCATCGAATTAGCATAATCTAATTTATAATGTAAATTTAATGCTCTTATCATAAGATCTTACTTAATAAAACACGTTGATATTAATGCGCCTTATAGATAAATATCGAAAGTATAAAATCAGCAGAGTCCAACGTTCTATTAAATTTATAAATCTGTTGCAAAATTTTCTAATTCTTATTAAATCAACCACTGCAGCAATGAAAATAGCATATTATGAAAGATGTCCTGTAAAATTTGTATAGCCAATCATGAAGCAAATATTTATTATTAGATGGATAATCAAAATTGATTAGTCAGCAATAAAATGATAATATATGAAGTATAAGGAAAGAAAGATGAACAATTGAACAATTACACTGGAAAGTGTATATGTAAAAAGACCTAAAAAGAGGATTAATCATACGGTGAAGAACTAGAACTACTAAGATAAATAAAACACTTTTACCGTTTTTAAAAACAAGACTATCAATTGATAAACACTCTCACATGTAATTTAGAAACTGAATAAAAATCAGAAAATTCAAGCCTCACTGCTTAATTAGCATAAAAACGTATTACATTCTTATTAATATTCATAATTTTCTACCTGATCTTCATACTTTTTCTAAAATAGTATTTCTCTTGATCGATATTACATATTAAGAAATATTCAAGTGTAGTACAGTTACGTACATTTCTCTTTAGAAGTTGCATTATCTGCCTTATCGCTGCTATTTTATGATAACCTAAGTTTACATATATATATATATATATATATATATATATATATATTCATCTGACAATCAACTACTCCGAAACATTTTATAAAGTGAGCTAAAAGAAGTAAAGACAAAAAAAATGAAAATTCTTCTTTTAACCATTTTCGGTAAAGTATTTAATTAAATAAACATATGAACAATATTATCTAATAAAAAGTTAATGCTTATTCAATGTGTCTTTTTTATAACAGCGTTCCTTTCAATCGGTTTCTCTATTCAATTTCAATGTCCGTTAAATTCGGATTTACAACCAATTGATGGAGCATTTGCCGACCCAGAATTTTGTGGTGTATACTATCATTGTATAAGCGGTACTCCTTTCCCTCAACAATGCCCTCCAGGACTCTTTTTCACCGTTTCTCTAACCAACTGTGAATACTCAACTTGTGTAGAACCTGAAGAAGCTGAATGTCCAGGTGGAAATTCTACACTTATCGTTAAGAATCAAGATTTTCGTCAATGTTCTACTGAACCTGACGAGGTGATGTCTTTTGAAGAACCATGTTATATGAAGAATTCGGATTGTGATGGAAAAATGAATGGAACATATCCAAACAATAATGATTGTAGACAATATTATCATTGTTATAATGGTCTTTCTTGGCCTCAGCAATGTCCAGATGGATATTTTTTCAGTCCATCATTAAATGTTCGAGATTGTACTACGAAAATGTGTGTAACAATTGAAGAATCCGAGTGTCCAATGCCAGGAGGATGGTCTGAATGGTCAAGTTGGTCGGATTGTGATCCATCCTGCGGTGATGGTCTTCGAACTCGTACAAGGAGTTGTACAAATCCGCCACCAATGAATGGAGGCGAAGATTGTCCTGGAAATTCAGTTGATATAGATTTGTGCTTTAATCCACCTTGCGGTGTAGTCAAAGAGCCAGCATTTATGGTATCAATGACAAGTCTTGTATCTCTTTCTCGTGGTACTGTCAAGTGGCATCGAATAAATATTAATAATGGCAATCTTTTTAATGCTACAACAAATTCATTAAATGTTAAAGATAGAGGATTTTTCTTCAGTTCTATAACAGCAACGACACAAAGTTTAGGAGGTGTGTATTTTGTAGACGAAGGATCGGGCATTTCTTCTGCTTTATACAAAAGAAAAGATCGTATTGATCTGCGAAATTCTGAAACGTTATCCAAATCGGGCACCTACTTTTTCTCATCTCCTTCAAATAAAAAATATTTTCACGAAAATTCAGCCGCCAGTGTAGTTGGATCGGTATCAAGCAGTGATACAGCATGGACAGCATTCCGATATGAAACAAATAATGCATTTTTTGTTTCAACAACTTCAGCATTTTTTGGGACTGAAAGAATGATACCATTCAATAGAATAGTATCGCTTCGTGGCTTTGCTATGGATCCAAATAGACAACGATTAACTGTCTCAACTAAAGGTTGGTATTTTATAAATATTGGACTTGGATTTGAATCTAGGAGGGCCGCAAAAGCATCTTTTGTTATTAATGATCTCAATAACAAACCCGGTTGTGAGATAGGGAGAAGTGATACTAGATATGTTGGTAACAATCAGGCATCAAGAGGATTTATAGTAGAACTAAATCCTGATGATAAAATTGGTTTGAAGTTAATAGAAGGACGAGTGAGATCACTTCTTTTTTATACTTATATGACTGGATTTAAACTAAACGCAACTAGTGATAGTCCCGCATTTTACGCTTATAGTAGTGTTAGTCAAAGTATAACAACGAGAAGGAAACTAGCATTTGACACAGTCGTTTTAGATGTGTCATCAGGATGGAGTACAATTGATAATACATACAAAGTGGCTGTATCAGGTCTCTACTATATTGAAATATCAGTGGGTGTGTTTCCTCAAAGTCAATCCGTTGTCGAAGTTGTGGTTAATAATGATGTAAAGTTGGGAATGCGTTATTTATCAACTGCACATAACGCGTATGATGTAAAAAGTAGAGGAGGTTTGCTTCAAGTTCAAGAAGGCGATTCAATTTCTATTGAAACTTCAAATCCCGCTTATAGTGATGAATTAAAATTGACTTCATTCACTTTGTTGTACGTTTCACCATAATATATAATCTGCTTAGGTCGTCATATTAAGTTGTGTATTATTTGATATTGTCAGATTCAAATTATTTAATTCATTATCTGAATCAATTGTATGTTTTGTTCGTAAAGATGTCGATTCTAAAGGAAATTGAGATGTGGAAATTTTCTATTATCGCTTGATAACATACACTCTTTTTTGAACTATAGAAACTTTTAAACTATTTAATAGAATGCTCTCAGTATTATTGAAATTCTTCTATTTAACCAAAGTTGAGATGAAACCTTTTGATATAAGGACTATAAACTTTCGAAATACTGGAAATTTAAGAAAAGAATTAACTTTAACGAATGCAATTTATTCAATGCTACGAGGAACTCAATCATTTTTAGAGATATAGAATTCTACTTTATGTGTCTTTCAAGAACAAACACAGGTGGAGGATATCTATATTTTACAGCAAATCAATCCTTTTCATATGGACTTACGAAACCAACAATGCTTTTTTTGTTGCTAGGACTTCGGGACAAGAGATTCCAGTCCTGCTTTCTTTTAGTCAAATTATAGCTCTTCGTAGTCTTAGTATTGATTGTAATCGACAGATGTTAACCGTCTGGACTAAAGGCTGGTACTCTATAAGTATTGGAGTTGGATTTGTAACTAGAAGATTAACTAAACTTAGCATGGTGATTAATAATAATACTAGCAGGCCAGAATATGATTTAGGTATAGATTATACGAATCCAAGTAGCTATACTCAAGCATCCAGAGGATTCATTGTTGAGTTAGAGAGTTCTGACAAAATTGGTTTGAAATTGCTTGAGGGTCAAATAAGGTCACAGCATTTGTACATATATCTAACCGGATTCAAGCTAAATGCTACCAGTGACAGTCCTACATTTTATGCATACAGTAGCGTTAGTCAAACCATAACATCCAGAGGGCAAATAGCATATGATACAGTTGTCTTAGATACAACTTCATCATAGAGTTCAATAGATAATATATATAAAGTTGCTATATGAGGTCTCTACTATATTGATATGTCTGAAGGCATTATTCCCGGAACTCAATCAGTAGTAACTGTTTTGGTGAACAATTCTGTGAAAATGAGAATGCGTTTTTTGGAAACAGGACAACGGTCTTATGGTATGCAGAGCACCTGTTTATCTTATGATTTTTAACTTATAGTATTTTTTGAACTTTTTTCTATAGATTAATAATACAAAGTATGGAATTAACTTTCATTCAAGATTAATAATAAATCATACGATGTTATATATAGAAAATAGCTCGTATCATTTTAAGTGTAAAAGAATACACAAAAAGAACCATTTCTTGACCTTTTTCATATGATATATCATCAATCAATCTAGTTTATAATTAATTATCGTTAAAACTAATAACTTTCAAGAATTGTTGCGTAATTGAGAAATTTCTTTTGTTTATTAGTAGATAATTATAATATATTCATAATAAGCAAACATCTTAAATTTGATAATTATTTGTTTGGTAAAAGAAAACGCACACATTCATTAATATCATTATCTTTACGATAGTGTAGATATGATTTAAGATTCAGTAGTGTTTTTCGTAGACGGACTTGATAAGATTTAAATGATGTTTAATTGTTACAAAGAAGTAATTCAAACGATTTACAACAAACTATTTTAAGAAGAAATGTAAAACAAAGTGAATGATGTCAATTTTAATTCATCACTATAAGCGGGATTTGAAGTTTCAATAGAAATTGAATCGCCTTCTTGAACTTGAAGCAAACCTCCTCTACTTTTTACATCATACGCGTTATGTGTAGTTGATAAATAACGCATTCCCAACATTACATCATTATTAACCACAACTTCGACAACGGATTGACTTTGAGGAAACACACCCACTGATATTTCAATATAGTAGAGACCTGATACAGCCACTTTGTATGTATTATCAATTGTACTCCATCCTGATGACACATCTAAAACGACTGTGTCAAATGCTAGTTTCCTTCTCGTTGTTATACTTTGACTAACGCTACTGTATGAAAAGAATGCAGGTTTATCGCTTGTGGCAGTTATCTTAAATCCGGTCATATATGTTAAAGCCCCTGAATTCGATCTACTTGTTCCATCAATTAGTTTTACGCCTATTTGATCATTAGCATTCAGTCGAACAATGAATCCTCTGGAACCTTGAGATTCACCAACGTAATTGCTGCTTTTTCTGCCGAGGCTGTACTCTGGTCTAGTAGCATGATCATTAATAACAAAAGACAATAATCCAGGTGAACGTGATGAAAATCCACTGCCCAAATTTACAAAATACCAACCATCCGTTGAGACAGTTAATCTTTCAGGAGATTGTCTTGCTAAACCACGTAATGTTAATACGCTATTAAATGCTATAAGTTTTTCTCTACCCAAAATTGACGTAGTGCTGGCTACATAGAAAACATTGTTTGTTTCATATCGAAAACCTGTCCATGAGGTTTCACTACCTTCAGGTGATCCAGTTATTAAAGAAAATCTAATTGCATCATATCTTGGTGAATTTATGGTTGTATACAATTTTGTTCCTGCCCTGGTTAAGGATTCTGAATATGCGGCAGTAGAATCCCTTGTGAATCTATGAAGAAAGTGACTTACAGCTGATCCTCTTGATGAAACCTGAAATGAGGTTGTCCTTCTTATTGAAAATGTCAGTGAACCATAGTAAAACCCGGTTTCATTAATTCTCAAAGAATTTGTGAGAATATTAAAAACATTACCACGATTGTGATTAATTCTCTGCCATCTAATTATTCCTGCACGTATTACATCGTCCGATCTCATTGATACCATAAATGCTGGCTCTTTGACTACACCGCAAGGTGGATTAAAGCACAAATCTATATCAACTGAATTTCCGGGACAATCTTCGCCTCCATTCATTGGTGGCGGATTTGTACAACTCCTTGTACGAGTTCGAAGACCATCACCGCAGGATGGATCACAATCCGACCAACTTGACCATTCAGACCATCCTCCTGGCATTGGACACTCGGATTCTTCAATTGTTACACACATTTTCGTAGTACAATCTCGAACATTTAATGATGGACTGAAAAAATATCCATCTGGACATTGCTGAGGCCAAGAAAGACCATTATAACAATGATAATATTGTCTACAATCATTATTGTTTGGATATGTTCCATTCATTTTTCCATCACAATCCGAATTCTTCATATAACATGGTTCTTCAAAAGACATCACCTCGTCAGGTTCAGTAGAACATTGACGAAAATCTTGATTCTTAACGATAAGTGTAGAATTTCCACCTGGACATTCAGCTTCTTCAGGTTCTACACAAGTTGAGTATTCACAGTTGGTTAGAGAAACGGTGAAAAAGAGTCCTGGAGGGCATTGTTGAGGGAAAGGAGTACCGCTTATACAATGATAGTATACACCACAAAATTCTGGGTCGGCAAATGCTCCATCAATTGGTTGTAAGTTTGAATTTAATGGACATTGAAATTGAATGGTTAAGGTAAATGAAAGAATTACTGCACAAGAAAAATAATATAAAGATTAAATACAAAATGAATGAAAATATTTCTAGTTTGTTTTGAACGCGAATTCATACCTGAGATGAATAGAAACAGATTCTTCATGGCGTTTATTACAGTTCACTTAGTTGTACTGTTCTTATATAGCTATTTTATCTGTTGGTAATGATTAGTAAACTTTTTTATCTTTGACTACAGTATATAGTTAATAGAATGATATTATATATCTTTGAGGTCGTAGCCTTAATAAAGCTTATCCTTAAGTAATATTTTTCCATTTATCGTATATAAAGCCACTTAAATTGTTATTTTAACAATGTTGGTAGTTTTTGTTTTTGAATAATTATTTTTCAGGATGTGTTAAGAAATTTGCAACAATTTGTCAAGTGTGTTTGCTTAGCTGTGTGGTTTTTTCTAGAAGTAAGGTTGTTGACATGTAGTCATTCTGTACCTCTTATCACGTGTTATAGAGTTCCTCTCTCCTTTAGATTATAATATAATAAATATAAAACTCAGTGATTAGCATTATTACTTAAGATTAGACGAAGAACTTATCTATTTCACAAGTTTCTGTACCAATTTCTGACACAAAAAATGTCATTTTATAGTTACATTTTCTTTTAATCTAATCAAAATTAAAAGTCAAGTCATTCAGGAAGGCATCTCTTGCTTTTTTTTGTAATTAACAATTAACCAGAATTTTAAGTTTTCAATATAATAAATTACCAGTTTAACTTTAATTACCGGCCAAATGAATTGATTTCTAAGCAAAAAACTTAATTTTATCCAAATAGTTGGTCTAATAATACCCTTTTCCTAACTGTTTTTTCAAGTAGTCACGTTTAAATAAAACATCTCCTTTTAGAGAAGGGTTAGTATCATTTCCAAATCTTCTTCAATTTATATTTTGTCCTATCTATTTACTATACTTTTCAGTAAGGATTTAAAATCATTATCTAAACTTTCTTTACTTTTTAGATAGTAATTTAAATGTCTGTTACATCTTCTTCAATTACATAAATTTGTACTATAGTGTTCGGAACCAGAAAAAAAATTACACATTACGTTTTGTTCCCTTTTCATTATATTAACATGACAATAGGCATCTAGGGCAGCAAGCTCTTTTTAGTTGTCTTAAATTGACCTACCAAAATAGTGCAGTAGTTCAAAATGACAGTTGTAGTTGTGGCGATGAAAAAGCATTTCAGTTTTCAGTATTTCGGAAGTATATAGTCCTTATATCAAAAGGTTTCATTTCTCCACTTTGGTTAAATAGAAGAATTTCAATAATACTGAGAGCATTCTATTAAATAGTTTAAAAGTTTCTATAGTTCAAAAAAGAGTGTATGTTATCAAGCGATAATAGAAAATTTCCACATCTCAATTTCCTTTAGAATCGACATCTTTACGAACAAAACATACAATTGATTCAGATAATGAATTAAATAATTTGAATCTGACAATATCAAATAATACACAACTTAATATGACGACCTAAGCAGATTATATATTATGGTGAAACGTACAACAAAGTGAATGAAGTCAATTTTAATTCATCACTATAAGCGGGATTTGAAGTTTCAATAGAAATTGAATCGCCTTCTTGAACTTGAAGCAAACCTCCTCTACTTTTTACATCATACGCGTTATGTGCAGTTGATAAATAACGCATTCCCAACTTTACATCATTATTAACCACAACTTCGACAACGGATTGACTTTGAGGAAACACACCCACTGATACATCAATATAGTAGAGACCAGATACAGCCACTTTGTATGTATTATCAATTGTACTCCATCCTGATGACACATCTAAAACGACTGTGTCAAATGCTAGTTTCCTTCTCGTTGTTATACTTTGACTAACACTACTATAAGCGTAAAATGCGGGACTATCACTAGTTGCGTTTAGTTTAAATCCAGTCATATAAGTATAAAAATGAAGTGATCTCACTCGTCCTTCTATTAACTTCAAACCAATTTTATCATCAGGATTTAGTTCTACTATAAATCCTCTTGATGCCTGATTGTTACCAACATATCTAGTATCACTTCTCCCTATCTCACAACCGGGTTTGTTATTGAGATCATTAATAACAAAAGATGCTTTTGCGGCCCTCCTAGATTCAAATCCAAGTCCAATATTTATAAAATACCAACCTTTCGTTGAGACAGTTAATCGTTGTCTATTTGGATCCATAGCAAAGCCACGAAGCGATACTATTCTATTGAATGGTATCATTCTTTCAGTCCCAAAAAATGCTGAAGTTGTTGAAACAAAAAATGCATTATTTGTTTCATATCGGAATGCTGTCCATGCTGTATCACTGCTTGATACCGATCCAACTACACTGGCGGCTGTATTTTCGTGAAAAGTTTTTTTATTTAAAGAAGGTAAGAAAAGGTAAGTGCCCGATTTGGATAACGTTTCAGAATTTCGCAGATCAATACGATCTTTTCTTTTGTATAAAGCAGAAGAGATGCCCGATCCTTTGTCTTCAAAATACACACCTCCTAAACTTTGTGTCGTTGCTGTTATAGAACTGAAGAAAAATCCTCTATCTTTAACATTTAATGAATTTGTTGTAGCATTAAAAAGATTGCCATTATTAATATTTATTCGATGCCACTTGACAGTACCACGAGAAAGAGATACAAGACTTGTCATTGATACCATAAATGCTGGCTCTTTGACTACACCGCAAGGTGGATTAAAGCACAAATCTATATCAACTGAATTTCCGGGACAATCTTCGCCTCCATTCATTGGTGGCGGATTTGTACAACTCCTTGTACGAGTTCGAAGACCATCACCGCAGGATGGATCACAATCCGACCAACTTGACCATTCAGACCATCCTCCTGGCATTGGACACTCGGATTCTTCAATTGTTACACACATTTTCGTAGTACAATCTCGAACATTTAATGATGGACTGAAAAAATATCCATCTGGACATTGCTGAGGCCAAGAAAGACCATTATAACAATGATAATATTGTCTACAATCATTATTGTTTGGATATGTTCCATTCATTTTTCCATCACAATCCGAATTCTTCGTATAACATGGTTCTTCAAAAGACATCACCTCGTCAGGTACAGTAGAACATTGACGAAAATCTTGATTCTTAACGATAAGTGTAGAATTTCCACCTGGACATTCAGCTTCTTCAGGTTCTACACAAGTTGAGTATTCACAGTTGGTTAGAGAAACGGTGAAAAAGAGTCCTGGAGGGCATTGTTGAGGGAAAGGAGTACCGCTTATACAATGATAGTATACACCACAAAATTCTGGGTCGGCAAATGCTCCATCAATTGGTTGTAAATCCGAATTTAACGGACATTGAAATTGAATAGAGAAACCGATTGAAAGGAACGCTGTTATAAAAAAGACACATTGAATAAGCATTAACTTTTTATTAGATAATATTGTTCATATGTTTATTTAATTAAATACTTTACCGAAAATGGTTAAAAGAAGAATTTTCATTTTTTTTGTCTTTACTTCTTTTAGCTCACTTTATAAAATGTTTCGGAGTAGTTGATTGTCAGATGAATATATATATATATATATATATATATATATATGTAAACTTAGGTTATCATAAAATAGCAGCGATAAGGCAGATAATGCAACTTCTAAAGAGAAATGTACGTAACTGTACTACACTTGAATATTTCTTAATATGTTGAACATTAGATTTTCTCTTGAGAGAGTTTGCTTTTTATATATACAATATATATACGTATGCATACATATATGCAGTATATATATATATATTTTTTAATAAATTAATTAAACTACTATTTATCATCATGAGCTTCAAATACTCCTTATTTATTGACCTTTTTTTATCAATAATCTAAAGATTATAAACATTTTATTAAGTTCTTTGAGGTTGCGACCTCTGAATCATTCATGATTATAATATACTTAGGTCGCTTTCTTTCATGTGATTGCTATAGACCCATTTCGAGTTCAAGTAATTTAGTTTGATTATCTCCTTCGATAACAAAAACTAACGATATATATTTTTTGACGCCGAAATAATTGGTTAACTATTTTTGATTTATTCCTTGATAATAGTAAAGGAATTTCCAGATTTTTTGACATCTCTGTTTCTCTTATGACAGACCACTTTCAGTATCTGAAATTAGCGACAGCTAATATAATTTCATATATAAAGAAAGATAATGCAATTGCATCTTGATCATTTATAGAAAACGATTCCATTCTCTTCAGGAAAATGTAATAAAATGAAAGAAACACGAAAAATTGAAACTTTTAACTTAATGACTATCAAAAAGATTTTATTCATTCATTATTAAAATTGTTTGAAATATAGATGAGCAGTTTGAATTTCTTTCAGATATTCTTTTAGGAGAAAAGAACAGTTTCACCAAGGAGATACATTTTAAGTGGCGTATTTTTCATTCAGCCAGCTTTTTTCAAAAAGCTTCTTTAGAGAGTTGTTTTAATGTAATTTGAACTAACTAATGTTAACATCCCTATATATTCATATAGTTAAAGACATTTCAACGGTAGTTGGCAAAGTTAAAACTACTTTTCAAACATAAACAATTTGTCATTTAATTTTCCATCTTGTTGTTTCAAAATCTGTTTCCATACTCCTTCTATCTTATCTCAATCGTTGACCTTTTTATGTTTATTTATAGTGTTTTCTCAATGCATAGAGAATTATAAAAATACTTTATTATTAATAAAAAAATTAGATGACCGTAATTAAACTATGGCAATTTCTGTCACAAGTTACCACTTTCTTCCTGTCTCCTACGCACTGTATCTCTTTCTCTCTTCATTTGTCTCTGTCTCTCTGTCTTTCTTTCTGCTGTGAGACCTACCATATGCGTAATATTTCTGTCCTGTTTTTATTATACTTATTTATACCTTTTTCGAACCTGATTCAATACAAACTAGTATATTATCGATACAATTTAAATATTCATTTTGAACGAGTATTTTCTCTTCTTCGAACGAAAAATTCATAAATATACTAATTTAATTCATATTGATAGTTAATTAAACAAAGTTAAACTACTCAATTTCGTATGCCCTATTTGTCCTTTTAAATATTATCTTTATGTATTTTTGATATGGACTGACTCTTTCAAAGTTTAAAAAAATTGGCTAATGTCGCATATGGTTTTTTCTCTTAATACTAAATTTAATATGGCTATTTTTAGATACAAACAAATGCTAACTAATAAGAGGAAGGGACATATTTTAAATAAGATATAAATATAATAATACGTTTGTATAAGAAATCAATAAAAGCAATAAATTGACAAACATTTTCATTAGCATTCCTATGCTGTTTATAAATTTATATTTACATACATAAGAAGACTGATAGAGGGTTGAAGTTTATGTAACACATATGAAAATCTTATTCATTTTTTATACAAATCAAGTACGAAAAGTATACGATACAGTGTAAGGCCATATAATAATTTTTAGCAAAGCATAGGCGGATATCTGGGAACTTTATGATATGTTACATATGGAAAATTTAACAGAAATATATATTTACAACTAAATATAAACATTTCAGAGAGTATATAAGCTGAAAAATTTTATTGAGAGACAGTCCGATCTTGACTGAATAATAAAGATGAAAGTTCTAGCTTTACTTGCTCTTGTTGCTGTTGCCGTTCAGGCTAAACCACGTGATCCTGCTTTCTTGACCACTGAAGTTGGTTACATCGTTGGAGGTGAAGATGCTTCCCCTGGTGAATTTCCATGGCAAGTATCTTTGCAAAGATGTTCTGGTGCTTCATGCAGCCACAACTGTGGAGCCATCGTCATGAATGCCGACTGGGTTTTGACTGCTGCCCATTGTATCCAAAACCCATCCCTCGCTTCTCATAGATTGGTCTTCGGTCTTCACAGACGTAGTGATGAATCTGGAGCTCAAGCTAGAACTCCATCCATTGTTAGACCCCATCCAGATTGGATCAATGACGGTAGCTTGGGATTCCCCAACGATGTCGGTGTCATGAAAGTCTCTGAATCTGTTGTTCTTTCTGGAAATGTTGCTGCAGCTACTCTTGTATCTTCATCTGTTGGAAATTTGGCCGGACAAGCCTGTGTCATCTCTGGTTGGGGACGTACCGCTGGTGGAGCACCTTTACCCGATGTTCTCCAAAAAGCCGACACCCGTGTCTTGTCCACTGCTGAGTGCCAAGCTCAAGGAATTCCTCAAGCTGATGATGACTTCCATATTTGTCTTAACAACGATGCCGGAACTACCAACTCCTGCAACGTAAGTCTAACATCTTACAAAACATTTTGTACAAATTCTTAATATAAAATCTTTTCCAGGGTGACTCTGGTGGCCCATTGAACTGCCCAATCGGAAGCGGTGGCTCTATTCAAATTGCTGGTGTTACATCTTTCGGTATCATCTTCTGCCCACCAAACAGACCAGCTGGGTATGCCCGTGTTTCTTACTACCGTGACTGGATCGATTCCAACTCCCAAGATTAAGTAGCTGTGTAAAATAAGGAAACCCAATAAACAATCGTCTTAATGATAAATAAATATTAAAATCTTAAATTTAAACTTTAAAGTTTAAACTTTCTCTTAAAAGAATTATTATATTAATATATAGTTTAATGAAACTTGTAGTCTTTATACTTTGAACCTATAATTTTGGTTCGCATCTCTCGCGTAATCGCTTAAATTTACCGTTTTTGACTTGCTCCATAAATAAACTATAATTCATTATAAATAAGCTATAAAGATATCACTTGTTATTCAATAGGGACTTTATCATTCATCTCCCTCTATAAAATGTTGAGTAAATTCGTTTTGAACCATTTAGGAGCCAGCTTTTTCAACATTTTCGTTGTTCTTCATATTCAAATAGCCTTTTCATTCGACATTATTCAAGTGCAATTTGATCTATTCTCACCTGTTTTTCGACCAATGCTTCTCTTTTCAACAAAACCATTGGTTGCCATCATCCCTATTATTCTGATCTATGTATAGGCTAAATCCTGAAATAAGTAACATCTTGAAGTATGATCGCATTAGACTAGACGCTCTTTTTTTGTCTTATACAAATATATAAAGCATATTATACTTTGTAGAGAGATATGAACTAGATATATTATTCAATTCTAAACTCAACTTGGATAGACCCTTTTCTATAATATAGTCAGAATCATTGACTTACGATATCTTACTTTATAAAAGGCAGCTGTAAAAATGATACTTTTGTTCAGCAAAAGTGAACTTATATCTGTAGTTTAATATGAAGTAATAAATTTAAATAATCAATTGGAAATTCAACATAAATGAATGTAGTTTTTTTTTGGGGTCGTTAAATATGAAAGATTTTCACCTATTTACTAATCCATAGAGACTAGGAATTTGTATTGTCTCTTATATGTAAAATCATTTTGTTTCCATGGTATTAAATTAATAATGGAACAGAATTTATATATAATTGACCAATTTCAACTGGTGGTAGACAAGTGTATGAACGAAGTGATACCTAACTGAGTATTTTCTTAAGAGAGAGAAAAACATTTAGAAATCTTTTCAAGATTAAACTTTCATGCTTTAAGCATATTAAATACAAACATTTCCCCTAAACTGTTCTTTTTGCTCCACTGGAAACAGTTAACATGAGACTGATGGCTTTAAAGTATAAATAAATGATATAATAGCTAAGAACTATGAAGAAAACGTCCACAAATATACGTTTTAACCCTAGCCCTAACCGCCCAGGTGACAATCTACTTTGCATTTTAAAGAATCTGATCCTTAGTTTAGCCCATAATTGGAATGCGATTAGGTTTTAATTTTTCTAACCCTAGAGATGCTCCTAACCAAGCCTCAAAGTTTACCCTTAGTGGATATTTTCTTTCTTCTCTCTCAAGCTTTACTCTTACTCGATAACGACTTTGTGAAGAAGGATATGAACATATCTCCAAATAATGAATGAAATAAAACTTTCTAATTGCATGCAATGTAAAAATAGCAAAATATTCTATTAATCAAATAATAATTGATATTCTTTCATATGATAATGAAAGGTAAAAGAACAACCATCTGGTGCAATTTCTGTCTTGCTAAAGTTACAATTTATAATAAATCATTATTCATTGTTGATTCTATGTTATCTTTATGTATTAGCAATAGATAAATTCGTACCAAACAAGAGATAAAAATCCTTCTCTAATAACCAAAAGCCTGATAGCTTAATAGGTTTTGCATTGAAAAAATAGAAATATTGACAATCATGTTTAAACGTTTAAGCTCCCTTCCTTAATATACAATCAATATTGCAACTACAAGTCTATATTTTGCCCCTTTTCATGAATGAAAGTATATTTCGCGATAATGATGTTAAAAATGAATAGAATTTTAATTATTTACTACGCAATGTGAAAAAACATGCGGTTTATATGAAATTTGAGTATGAAAGTGTGTGAAATAACATTTCTTAAAGAGTATAAAAGCGCTTGTGTCTCTTCAGTCTTTACTCAATTTTGGTTGAATTCAAAACATCATGAAAGTTTTAGCTGTTCTCGCTCTTATTGTAGTGGCCTCTCAGGCTAGACCAAGTTCCAACAAAGCTAATTTGCAACCTTTTGTTGGCCGTATCATCGGAGGAGAAGACGCAGCACCAGGCGCTTGGCCATGGCAAGCATCTCTACAAAGATGCACCATCGGATGTTCTCACAGTTGTGGTGCCGTTGTTGTCAATGAAAACTGGGTTCTAACTGCTGCTCATTGTATCCAAAATCCTGATCCTTCCGGATACAGAGTTGTTGCTGGACTTCACCGCCGTAGTGACGAATCTGGTGCTCAACCTAGAGATGCTTCCCAAGTTATTTCCCACCCTGAATTCATCCAAGATGGAAGTCTTGGATTCCCCAATGATGTTGGTGTTGTCAGAGTTTCTTCTGCTTTTGATTTGAGTGCTTCAAATGTAGCTGCAGCTACTCTTGTCCCAAGCAATGCTCCAAATTTCGCTGGACAAGCTTGTACTATCTCTGGTTGGGGTCTTACCGTTGGAGGAGGATCCGGTTTACCTGATGTTCTTCAACAAGCTGATACCCGTGTTTTATCCACCGCTGATTGTCAAGCTCAAGGAATCCCACAAGCTGATGATGACTACCATATATGTATCAATGATGACGATTTGGAAACCAGCTCATGCAACGTAAGTTTAATTCATATAATTCTACAGAATTCTTACTAATTTCAAACATATTTTAGGGTGACTCTGGTGGCCCATTGAACTGCCCAGTTGGAGCAAATGGCGCTTACCAAGTTGCTGGAATCACCTCTTTCGGTATTATTTTCTGCCCAGAAGATACCCCAGCCGGATATGCTCGTGTATCTACCTACCGTCAATGGATCGATGACAACATCAGCGCTTAAGAAGGAAAAGACTACAATTTATCAAATGATATAAATAAATTGTTGCCATTAATAAAACGACCCAAAGATTAAACTAAACTTTTCGAACTAAGTCTATTCAGAGAATAATGTTTTAATTTAAAAAACAATAACATCAATTTACAAAAACACCTGAAAATTATAAAAGAGAAATTATTAATGAGAGTCTTTCACTTCTCTTTTACAGACAGAAACATCTCAATCTATAATTTTAAAGAATTTTACATATCTTGGTTTATAGCACCTTTTTAGCTGTTTACTTGTCAACAAACAACCTAAAACTTTCCAGTTAAATTAGGAAAGTTGATTAGTAACTATATAATTCTTTATCAAGGGGAAACCGGCTGAAATCAAAGTTCTTTCCACTTCCGTTTAAATCAAAAAAAGATACGTTAATTTCGTTTGAATTTAAGCTTTGAATAACCTAAGGTTTAAAAAGAATTATGGTGGGCCATAACTTGAAAAGCAGCTCTAGCTTGACCTTCTTTACATTGATGATAGGTCTAGAAAGTGATCCATAAATTACTTATCATTTTATACACTCCAATATTGACCTCAAATAAACTGATAATTCTAAGAGTAAATTAAATAAATGTTAATATTTAGGTCTTCTTTACCTCTCAATATAACTTTTTAATAGTAGAAGTAACTGAAAATTATCAAGAAATCAAAAAATGTTGAGCAGCTGTGAAAAATCCAATTATAATTTTCATACAAATAGACTCTTGAAAGTATGGGAACAAGCATACTTATTGTTAACAAATGACATCATATTCATAACAAAAGTTAATCATTAAACAATTCAATCTTAGCCGGCAATAAAAAAAAACACTGAATGAAATCTTTTGTAACTCTTATCCATTTCGCAATGACCGATAAGGCTAATTTGCAGGAAAATGAGGATTATTGACCAGTGATGTTGGTCCAATCATTGGTTGAGTAGACATTGCTCCAGGCAATATGCTCTAGAAAATATTTTTGCAAAGACGTTCTAGTGCTTAATGTGTACGTAGGTTTGCAGCCCATTCTACTTGTATCATATATGGTATCTGGCAATTCCCAATGATAATGTGAAATTCGATGAAGCTCTTGCTCTTTCTGCAAATGTTTTTTCATAGTGATGATAGTTGAACTAGCTTATACAACGTAGCAAAAACGTATATTTTCATACTTATTAACTACTCAATCAAATTCAACAGAGTTTACTAAACCGTCTGCTGCCCACCATATGGACTATCAGGTTAAGCTCTTATTTTCTTATACAGACCTTGAATCAACATTCTCTCCTCGATTTCGTGAATTGAAAAAACACAGTTTACTTAAATAAACTAACAATTAGTTTTAACTATTATATAATACGGTATATATTACAGATGTTAATAGAGAGACTATTAGAATTAGGATGAAGTCTCTAATTAGTACGTGTAGAACAAATCAATAATCCTTACAAAAAGTTTGTTATTCGTTTAGCAAGAGAATTTTACAACCTAACTACCAATTATGAATATATTATTTACTTTACATATTACATCTTAAACAATTATACATAGTATTTGTGTTGTAAGGATGAAGTAGCTTGTCTCAGAATTCTCCTAATAGTTATTAATTGAAAGAGAATCTTGGTCAGAATGATCTGAATAAAATAACAGTGAGGAAAACGATGAAAAAGATGGTATAGTTAACATATATAGAGGCTAAATCAACTAACAATTTTAAAGGAGGAGAGTCAGTCTAATAAGCAACATTCACCCTTAGAGAATCTGAATATGCTTCACTCCAATATTATATATGTAAATAAGGTTGAAGAATATTAATAAAAGAAATTATATACAGATAAAAAGTCTTAGGTCTCCATTAATAATATTGTATATTTTCTATATTTCGCCTTAAAACGAACAGAAATAAACTGAAATCGTCACTATTAAACAATTTTAATAGTTTATAAATTCTATTTTCATTCTATTAAAAATTTCGTTTTTCATAAAACTCTTTAACTTGATACGATAAACATTGTTAGAGAAATAACTCTTCTATTATTACTATTTAAGCCATCTGTAGCTTTAATTTGAACTCTATCTTTTTCCTTCAAATTCAATAGACCAGACCTTGACATAGTATCAAAGTTATTATGCAAATTCGAAGTACGTACTAGTGAAAGTCTCCTTTGTCCATTGACATGAATTTCTAAATTAAGTCTTGTATTTGGTGAGCTTCCAGCGTTTACTTCTATAAAATATAAGCCAGAGTATTCAATTTCGTATTCGCTGGTTGAACTATGCCATATATTTCCATTGTTAAAAACCACATCATCGTATGAAACATTTGATAGAGATGAGCTAAAAAAATCCCCAGAACGGCGTACGTAGAGAACGGGCGTGAAAAACGTAGTATTCAATTTCATTGCCGTCATATACGTATATAAATTATTTGTTGACCTAATAGCACCAGACAATAAGCGAAGACCTATGACGTCATTTGCTTCCAAGAAAACGACTCCACCCCTTGACGCTTGGTCATTTTGGAAGTTGTTCGATTGGCTTCTGCTTAATGAGAAATTAGTTTGTGGCTCGTTATTAATAGTCAGTACTACATCTGACGTTGTTCTAGCTTCAAAGCCAGTTCCGATATTGATATAATACCATCCACTATCAGCAACTCTATAGGAATAAGAATTAGGAACGGGTGCAGCCCCTCTTAGAACGATTATTTCTTGCAATCTGATATCTCCTGGATTATTTTCATTAAGTGAACTACCGCAAAATAGTAAATTTCTCGATTCGTATCTAAAAGCTAACCAAGATGTTTCGTAGCCATCCTCTCTACTAAAAATAGGAGTGCTAAAAGTTTCAAATTCAGCGTAGGGATTAAATAATCTATTCAGAGAAAATATGCCACTTCTCGAAAATGTATCCACTCCATTAAAAGATGATCCAGTTTGTCTAAAGAGTGCCGATAGTCTGCCGGTACCTTGTAGTGAAGAGTGATATCCATTTCCTGTGCTTGATCCTCCACTTAACGACATGTAATAAAAGCCATTTTCTTCAACCTTCATTTCTGAATTGGATGGATTATATAGGTCCTTATTGTTAATTACAACAGAATTCCATATCATTTTTCCAGGAAGTAGAAAGGGAGAATTTCTATAACCAACAAAAAAGGCTGGACTAGAACCAAAAGTACAATTTCTACTTTGACAGACTTCTATATCTGTTGACGATCCAGGGCATTTTGCACCGCCATTGGCTGGTGGAGGATTGTTACAACTTCTTTCTCGTATTCTGATACCAGTTCCACATTCTGGTTCGCAAGGGCTCCAACTCGACCACGAACTCCAGGAACCACCAGTTGGACATGCGGCATTTTCAAGCGGAACACATATCCTTCTATCGCAATTCCTAGTATTCAAGCTAGGATTAAAGAAAAAACCAGAAGGACATTTTTCAGCATACACTCTATCAGAAAAACAATGAAAGTATTGAGTACAATCCGTATTATTAGCAAAAGTTCCATTTTGTTGACAAGTTTCGTAGGACTCTTCTGAAGCTTTGGCATCGAAATCATTGAAAAATTTAACTTCATTTTCCTCAGATTGATTATAGCTTGGACAATTCGATTCGGCGGGCGAAGTACACATAGTAAAATGACAATCCTTATGAGCAATTGTAAAGTGAAGACCGGGAGGACACTGCCTTAGGTGAAACGTACCGTTGATACAATGATAATAATTATTACAATTTATTGGATCGATAAAAGCTCCATCGATATAATTAAAATCATCATCAGTTGGGCAAGAAAACTGCGACAAGGCTCCGTGCAAGAGGATAAAAGCTAATATTAAAATAACATTAGGATTAATACAGAATTAAAGATTATATAAATAAAACTTACCGAAAGTCAAAAGGATAAGACCCTTCATGTTTCTCAGGCTGATTAAGTTGTAGCAGCTTGCTTCAATATTTATACTCTTTCATCCATAGATACAAAATTACAAAATACCTTATCTTTATCAATTTATTATTGATAAAGTGATTAACAAAGTAAATACCTTTGAAGAGAATTAAGATTTATTCTTATTGCATCTATAATACGTCAACTTACCTTATGCAAACTTCAATAATACAATATATAATACTTATAGTCTCTATTTTATATAAATTCATTAAGCAGTTTAGTTAAGGCAGCTACCTTATTTTTTATGTTTTTCTATCAAATCTTAAACATCAAAGAAGTTAATTTTTTCGATACGAGATTAGAGTAGGCGTTTTGCGTGGGAGGCATTCCATTTTATTAGATTAGGCTAAATAGGATAATCTTTCTAATAAGTTTCTCACTTTTTTAAGTTTCTATTATTTTAATAACTAAATACTTTTCCACTTTAGGCCTATATAGAGATTTATAATTTATGAAAATATACTAAATCTATTCGAAGAATCAAAATGATAAGATTATAATTAAAATGATGATAAAAAAGAACGTTTGTTGCAATTTATTAGATGTTTGATAATACTCGTTCAAGTTTATTTATATATCTTGAATGCAAACTCGCAATAATTTATTATCCTTGTTATGTTCATAATATTCTTCGTTAAATATATAAATTAGATCTATTTGGGTATTTTAAGTACCGTATCTTCAATTCGATAATAATAAACATTTATTACCTACTTTGCGGTTTTCAAGTCAGCAGTTAAGAGATAAGAGAATAAGCTAGTTAAAAGTTTATTTTCGTATAAATTTGTAGAAAAAGCGTCAATAAGCAGAGGACAATTATTAATTTGTTCTTATTTTCTATTATTATTATTCGATTTGTCAGAATGTTTCATAATCTTCTTGCAGAGAAATCGAATACAAGATGTTAACATTCTATAAAAAATAAAAGTTCAGTAATTTATGTTTTCTATTTATTTCTCATATAGAATCATATTAACGACTGGAAAATACTGAAATGAGTGGTACGATTGATATTTTGTCTCCTTTAGATGATAAGATAACTTCTATAGTCAAGGCCTGGATCTAGGCGGAATGATTGAATGGTAAAAAAAATGATAACTATTATTCAAGGTTATTTATTTTACAAGTCAGATGGCACTAGAAGAGGATTGATAGGTTATCGACACCTTGCTTCTATATTTAATATTCCAATCTTCTTATATTTGAATTTTAGTCCTTATTGATATGGTTTCCTTCTTTATTTAAGAGATTAAACTTACCAGATATAACAAAGAGGAGGGAAACTCTTTAGAATTAATAATCTGTAATCTAAGTCTTTTCTTGTAGTAATTAATATAGATTTGTTTAAACATTAAGTACTAATTTATAACTATTTATTACAAAAAGAAATTAAAATGATCCTTTACCCAATATAGATATACAACAGAATGAACTAAATACAATCCAGACAGGTCCAAAAACGATCTATATTTAGCCGTCTTCACTGATACATCAAAGTCTAACAAAAAACTACTAATTTGTTTTGCAAGTTTCTGAAACACTATGAATTTCCTCGTAAAAACTTTTCTGGATTAAACAGTAATATTCTAGTTGACAATTCCCTTATTTGAAAGCCATTTATGCATATAAATCTTGTATGATTATGTATACAAGAACATAAAATAATGCATTTTATGAATAGTTTTATTATTATGAAAGACACGTAAAGCTGCCTATAATCTTTATGAAACGAAAAAAAAATGTTTATAGGCTTTATAAATCACTGTACGAAGTGGATAGATTGAACAGTCTTCATAGTTTTGCTTTTGTATATGGTCTTGAATCAAATGAGTAAAATATTCACCAATTAGCAGGTGATACAGCGTTCAAATCCCTATTCGTAAACTGTTTAAATACTTTGTTAAAGTTAGTATGACATTTTTGTAGATTTGCCCTTTTAGCTGATACTTTTTCCTGCAAACATTGCTGATTGCTTAGCCAATTTGCTAGTTGAAATCCTAGACGTCCTTTGCCAACATCAGTCATTTCTGGTGGACTGGCTCTACCACTTGGGCAGGCCGATGTGTTACTTGACTCAATTGATTGCAAAGACACAGAGTCCTCTTCCTTTTGTTGGTTTTGCATTTCATGACGATTTCGAAATCTATAGACGTCTTCAAAGCTGAAACTGAATTAACAGAATAATTATTAACAACACTTTATAGTAACATACAATATATAAAGAAGAGTTTACTTTCAAAAATCCTTTGTACTTGTTTTTTACAAGTAATATAAATAAAAAAATAAAAAAAGAACTATAAAAAAAAACTTGATAGAACAGAATAATTGTTTTTTTCAAAAATCGAAGCATAAGAGATAAGTTAGGTTAAAAAACAGAAATATACAAGAGATAATTGTCTAGTTTTAGACTTATTTAGGTCAGTACATGCTTAATATTAGATGTAAACAATGGAATATTTAAAGAGCTTTCAAAAGATATATCCTAACGGAAAAGAAACTTACTGGTTTCGTCGGAGCGGTGGCGGTTTTGATGTTGAGTTTTCAGTAGCTTTTACTACTTCTGTGTTTCCCTCTTTCATTTTTGATTTAAATGTGTTTCTTCTTTTCTCTTTATTCTGCAGGATATTTCTACTTTTATAGGAAGATATTCTGTTGGATGTCGCCATTTATTTTAAAAAAATCAGGATAGCGCGTCTTTAAATAGTAAATCTTGTTAATATTACCTTTATTCGAAGGGTTTTAAAAACCGCAAACTCCTTGAACACCCATTTTAATACAGTCTGTTGGCAAGCACGATTACGAATAATCTGTTATTGATAAGAAAGTTTAGAACTCACGATTTTTATGTCGTACAACCTATAGAGGACTGACTATAAAATAACTTTCAAAATGGCAACCATATTGAACATTATTAGAAAATTAAACATGGATCCAATCTCAAGATTATTAAGAAGCGACGATTGGTTATTAAATAGCACGTGATCGTCTGTTAATAAAAAAAAGGCAAAATCCGCCAGATGGCGAACATATTATGAACAGTCCTGAACGATTTGCATGAGTTAATTCTGAATTTATGAGAATCAAGATCAAAGAATTATTATTTATTTTTGTGAAGATAACTTGGATCAAAATTTTCTGCAGAGATAAACCTTGACAACTTTTATTCAGGTAATAACTTTTCTTAAAGAACATGACCCGCCTCAGTGACTCACATTAATGACTGAAATATTTCCTTTAATCGCCAGATTAAAACCAAGGAATCAACTGTTTAAAAACCCCTACTTGAATATATATATATGAACTGTGATATATAAGAAGAATTCTCATTTTGTGAAATTAATCATTCGGGCGATAAAAGGAATTTTTAAGGAAGAAGCCAAGTTATGCCCCTTAAAGTTCCTATTTTTTCACCTAAAAAGCGTCGGGAAAAAAACCAACAGGAAAAGAGTCAAATAGTCACAAGTGTTCAATTACAAGGTTCACATATGGATGTAAACTCTGTTCGAATGTCGAATCCAAAATTCGAAAAAATTGACATAGGCGACGCCCCCGTTTCCAATGCTGAAGACTCAAAACTAAAGCATAAAGATTCTGTATTAAGATCGCCAGTCTTGAGTTTAAGACAAGCGTTAAATAAAAAACGTGGTCCTCAACAACCATTAAGAAAGAGGGATAGTGCCGAACCAATATTACATTTTGGTGACCGATTCGACGATTTTACTGTAAAACGTCAAAGTGATCAAAGTTCTCAAAGCAGTAATATCTATGACAATGGTGATTCCGATTGTGATACTTTAAATGATAGTTCAGGAAGTATAAATCTGTAAGTACAATATTAGATTTATCATTTTAACGACATATTTATGATTCTTTCGATATTTTCTACCATAAAAAACCAAACCATAATAGTTATTTTTAATAAAATTAAGCTATATATAAAGAATTTAAACTATATAATCAATAAACAAAACGTGATACATCTTGTAGAATTTTTAGTATAGGAAAAAGTCTACATTTTCCCATTTAATATTCTATATATCTTATAACAATATCCTTGCTGTTAATTTCCTTATCTATTAGTAGATTTTATTAATAATTTCCTTTTTTTGACATATTGTAAAATTTTTATATCATAATAAGAGAATTATACAAAGAAAATAGTTGTTGAAATTAGTCCTATATACAGTAAATAAAGTATATATATTAAATTATTATGATATTTTTTTTTGTCTCTTTTAAAACAAAAATTAACCGCCAAAAACAAAATAAAAACATTAATGTTAAAAGAAGGAATTCTTCGAAAAGTGAAAGGTAAATAATAATTTTTGTTAATTTAATTAATTAATTAAATTAATATGCACAATTTATTATTATTATTAATTGTTACCTTTATTCCTTATTGAATTTCCCTCTTTATCTTATTGTTTGTGTGTTGTGTGTGTGTGTGTGTGTGTTTTTGTATTTGTTAATTTTATTAAAGAGTTTATAGTTTTTATTATTCTATTCTGTTTGATAATGTTAATAATATCTAATTATTCCAATTTATTTTGACTTTTATGTATTTTAAATTATATACAGTATAAATTTAATTAATGCATGTATTTAGATCAAGCACAGTTGCTATATTTATATACATTTCTAATTTTTTCCCTTCCCTATAGAACAAAAGAAATACAAAGATCTATTGAATGTCTTGATCAAATATTAGCTGAATTTAGCGACGGAGAGGAAGGTTCGATGGAATAAAATATTTTTTATTTAATTATCTGTATAGAATGTTTTCTTTTTCCTTTATAGAACTTCCTCCACAACCTCCAGTTGCTCCAAGTCGAAAGAGGAATAGTGCGGTATGTTATTCTTTTACTCTTTTTTATTTTAATATAAAAGATTCCATGTGTTTGCACTAAACTAACCGTAAAGTTGGCATCGTCATTTTGTTAACTTTGACCGACTTTGGGGTTTTTTTTTCCCGCAAAGTCAATTTTGTGTGTATATCACTATTTATTCAATAAATATAAAAGTTTTGATAGTAGGCGCCATCTTCTGTCGAAAACGTACAAGATATTTAACAATTGATCTATTTGAATTCTCTGCAAAGAAATATTTTATAGGTTAATTTATTTCTGATTATAGCCAACCTTCCCCTATTTCAATACGTTCACCTTGTAATTCAATTGTAAATGTAATAGTTAGTATTTGAGCAATTCTATGGAATTACTGAACGTAATATTAAGAAAAGGTTTAACCTACTATCTAGTAAGATTCTATGGGAGTGACTAGGCGAGGGAGGAGGATCGATAGTTATTAGTATAAAAGATATATACTCATTTCAAATCCTGCTTTCAGTCGTGTTTCGTTTATGATAAATTACTCTCTACCCTCATATTTCCGTCTTGTTCGCTTGATTTTTTTTAAGGAAAAGCTAGGCCTTTAGCATACTGCTGGAGATCCGTGTTTATATTTAAGTAGCGCTATAGTGATATTCGTAAGCGCTTGTTTTAGTTGGTACTATTGGAAGGAAGTCTGATACAGCTTAGCTATTTGGCCGGTGTATATATATATATATATATATATTCAATATTGAAATCACCTTTTATGAATATTTTTGAGTGAATAACATTTATAATAAAGTAGAAGGTGTAACAGTTTGGTGTCAGTCATGCCAGGGAAGAGAAAAAGAAGAAAGGTTAAACGAAAGCCTTCGGCTACGATGCCAGTTATTGGTAGCCGATTACCTTTTCGTCCAATGAGTCTATTTCAAAGAAATGGCTCTATAAGGAAAAAGACGACTCTTGATCAGCGTAAACACGACCTCCAGTCTGCTCTTCTTAACGGCGGAAGGGTATTTAAGCCTAGCTTTTTACAGTCGAACGACAATATTGTTAACCAATTCGATTTGGATGAAATGCGCCAATGGATGGAATCCAACAAGGTAGTTTCTATTACTTTTCCTTGAGAAACTTACCAACATGTTCTGCTAATTAGGTTATATAGGAACTTGATCAGAGACTGATAAGTAGTTTTCCATGTCTCAAATATTTTCTTACCGAAATCGTTTTTGTTATTATTCTTAAAGAGTTGTATTAGTTAGATATTCTGTACAAAGCTGTACTCTCAGATAATTATATTTCCTTAATGGGAAATCTACTTAAAATCCTACTATAGTTCATTTATATTACGTATACAATATCGCAACTATTTTAAGAAAAGTTTTATATATGAAGAAGAAGAAAAAAATACAAGTATATACGCTTTCATGCTTATCCAGATGATCTCAAAAGGCCTGAATTTTCATTTGAAAGGCTCCAAGTTTGTTTTATAACAAATGTGGGTTAAAAGTGGTGAAATGTGGTAGAAATATGGCGTTGAATAGCGGAGAAAGGGGCGATTTTCGATTTTTATCTGGGCCGTTAGTGACGTCACCATAGCAACGCATCTGGCGCTGTTTCTTTTTGCAGTTGGATAGCGCTTTTCCCTTGTTTCATACCAGTAGATTTTCGCGTATACTTTATCGATTTTTTTCCCGGTCTCTTTCTTTGTTTATTGTCACTTTTCCGTCAGTATTAAATATCAGATTGGTGCTGATTCCCATGCAAAGGGCCATAAAATTCTTATTAAAGAATTTCTGATTTTCTTTTACCAATTTTTATCGAGTAAAGCAGCGAATCGATCGGCTCTTTGTATGTACTCCATTTTGTGGCAGTGATCAACTCTAAAAAAGGATTTTTTTGCGGTAAAATGATGGTAAACAATTTTTTTTTGCAGTTCAATTCGATCAAACTTATATTGGGGAATTTATTTAAATTTCTTTTGTATTATTATAAATAGATCATGTATGAGATATTAACAAATATTCATTTTATTTATTTATATACAGTCGATTGCTAAAATGAAAAGGAATGCCGGCCCTATACCAGTATCGACCCCGGTTGTACCAGGAGTACGTAAAGTTTTCATTTTTCCTATATATAATAATGTATAGATTTTTAAATATCTTAAAGTACCTCTCTTGTAAATTTATCTACATTTTAGATGGGAAATGAACATTGTTTTTTTTTTTTCATACTATATTTACACAAGAAAGGACAACAGTATATTTTCTTTTATAGATTTTATTCCTATATTTTAATGCATCTTTAAATATTAATAATAAGTTGTAGTGTACAAACAATAGCAGTTCTTGTATTGAAGTCTATAACTGTTTTATACTACATTCAATATATGTCGTTTTGTTTTTTTTGCCCCCTTTCTTATTAAAATAATATAGAAACACTCGAGGAGAAGATAATAAGCAAAGAAACAAGGATTCATTTAGATTCTACACCTAAATTAGTTTCATCAACAAGAAAGAATCCAACTCATTACCTTCACATAGAATTTTATTTTCCAATAATATTGGAATAGTCTTCTACTGAGAGAAATATAGAAAGATTATTTATTCGCAAAAATAGTAAAATAATAAGAAAATATGTACAAAGTTTTCAGACTGTTTTATTTTCATCTTTGCTATGAAAAAACAAATATTTGCCCTATTTTCGAATGATATGTATAATATATCTATGTTATCTTGAAAATTACCTATTTCAGACTAGATTAGATGTAATATAGGAAGGGATCTAAGTTTGAATATATTAAACTTGTATATAGGACTATATACCAAGGGTATCATTTTCAAATGAAAATTTATCACTTGAGAAGCATTTTGTATACTGAATTAATAATATAACATAAATTGTTGAAGTTAAGTTACATATAACACTTGAAATCTGATGATTTATATATTAATTGTCTGTATAAGATATAAATTAAAACAAATTGTTTCCGACAGGTGCCACCGGAATCAGGATATACAACACGTGAAGGTTCCGTGTCAAGTCACGTCGCCCAAAGTCTTGGATCTGAATTTGATACTTTAACATTGTCCTCCCAAGGTTCTTTTCGTGAAGAGAATACACTAAATTACACCTATAGCACTGCAGAATGCGACTTCGAACCTATCCCGGAGCCACCGAAAAGTTCCGAGCCTACTGAATTTTTTTCAATTGTACCACCACCTCCGCCTCCCCAATCGGTTCCGGCGGTACCACCGCCTCGAAAAAACGGTATACAAGGAAAAGTTGACCAACCCAAAGCATCTGATCCCGTAGATTCCTCCCAATCACATAAAACGACAGAAAAGTCAACAAACGGAAGATATCCTCCACCTCCAGAATCGACTATATCAGATTCCAGTCGTTATCAAACAATCTCTATAGGAGATGGTTCTGATATTTATGAAACAATAGATGAAAGTAAAATGGCAAACATTTATAATCTAAATACCAATGGTTCAATGCCTACTGGGGAAATGTTCATTGAAACCGTGCCCGCTCCACCATCAATAAATGAAGTTCTTCATGTACCAATAGTGCCACCTCCTCCCCCTTCAAATGATCTAGAAATTGAATCTCGTTCAAAGGGACACGTGGATTACTCGGAACCGTTTAGAGCAATCCCTTCTCCTAGTTCAACAGATCTGATACCATCAGGGGTTCCTCCACCACCGGAATCAGGAGATAAAATTTCATCCCCACAACTTGCTCCCCGAGGAGCACCAGCGATTCCGGATCCTCCAATTGCTCCAGCACCTCCACCTCCACCACAGGGAGTTGCCCCGGATCCACCTTTTACTTCAGAGACACCATCCTTGCATGAGTTACCACCACCGCCACCAGTGCACACTTCAAATCTTAAATTACAAATAGGCAGTTCCAGTAAGCCTCCTACAATGCAACGACAAACTGAACCTGTCGTTTCCAAGGCTGTGGCTCCACTAAAAATACCAACACCACCACCTATTAGAGACAATTTTAATTCATCATCACATACAATAAATGAAGAAAATTTACCTACAGTTCCACCCCCTCCACCAATCGAAAAATTTGCACAATTACGGAAAACAGATGATCAACTGCTACAAGCTACTAATTCTTCACCTTCCGTTAATCCAAAAACTGAATTATTACAAGCTATTAATAGATTCCAAGAGGATAAAACAGTCTCGAGAGCTCCTAAGCAAATTGTATTAAATAGAGAAACGTCTGAATCGGAGACCGTGCCTAAAAGGCCAGCCCCTCCCCCAACAATGCCTAGATTAAATGCTACATTATCTTCAACTGTTCAATCTAATCAATCGTCGGGTATAGAAGTTCCCCGAAAAAGAAGTGTTACAGACATTGTCAAGTCTCTTGGAAATGAGAGAAAAAGCGAAGATCTTCCACCGCCCCCTCCTCCTCTCGCTCCTCTTGATTCTTTTGAATACGCTTCATTGGACAATATACCTCCTCCACCCCCAGTTGGCGGTGTTTCTGATAAAGCAATACCGATTGCCCCACCCCCACCCCCACTTTCTTTAACACTTCCTACTGATTCATCCAAAAGAGGGCCACCGACTAAACCGAAAATGGCTCCACCTACAGCCAGTAAGTTTGAAATTGTTTTTATTTCCTTCTTACTTATTTAAGGCTAGGAAAATACCTTTATGACCATATGTTATACATGTTTAGATGCAGTTTACTGCAATAATCGAAACTTCTTTAGCTTGTAATTCAGTTAAAATTCTTAAATATCTAAATAATCAATTCGTATGGTTAAAATTAGAGAAAATGGAAAAAAGTAAACCAATTTCTAGAACTGTTTCTAGCCTAAAAAATAAATAAGGAAAGGAGTACGTTAAATAAATTTAATTAAATGGAGGAGGTCAATTTCTGTCGGCTAATAAAGAGCCATGCTGTAATTATGGGTAAAAAAAAGCTTTTTACAGTTGCACTCCGTTCGATAGTCAAAAATTAAATATAAAACGTGTTAGATGTAAAACGGCAGGGCATTTTAATTATCGAATTATCGATTTAGTTTAGATCAATCCGTTAAATGTAAACATTTGGCGAGCTTGTCTCAATGAGGTTTGTAGTTTGATCATTTTTAGCCTATATACCTTAAAACTAGAGTAATATCATCAAACTTTGATAAATCACGAATCGTCTTCATACTTTTTATCTCTTTTATCATTTTTATCAAATTGGAGACGATTCAAGGAGAAGAACTTATATTATGACATTTTACGGAGGTCCTTACCCCGGAAGTATTCGTATGTTGATTACTAAACATCGATTCCCCAAAGCTCGACAGATGCCGATTTTTTTATTTAATCTGATTTTTATTAGCATAATCGATAGGTTTCTTTCTCTTAAAAAATTTTCCAGTTGTTACGATTACTTTTTATGCGCTGTTGTTATTTTGCTCCTCATTTTACCTTTTGCAGATAAACCGCAAAAGACGCAACCTGCGGTTGAGCACGCTGAATTACTCAACCAAATTCACCAAGGCCTTTCATTGAAACCAACTAAGTTTGGTTCTAAGATACGAACAGGTAAGAGAACACCTACTATTACTCTATCTATAAGAATTCCTACTTGTTCATTAGCTTAGTGGTATTTTTTTTTTTTTTTGTTTGTTTTCTTTAGAAAAAAAAATATATATATTAAGAATGTAAGCCTATCTTTTATAAAAAAAAGAGTTATGTATCTGTATGTATAAATGTATACTTATCTCTTTATCTATCTACATATATTGTGTATATATCATTATAGCTATTGTAGATGAATTTTTAGCGGTAGTCAAATGTAATCGATCTTAAAAAGAGAAACTTTTACAGTTAACATTAACGTCTTTTCCCTCTTTCATTATAATAAGTAGTGTATATTAATTTAGAACGATGCTTTTTATATTATATTGTCTGTTATAAGTCGAAAAACGAAATGCTTATCAAGTATAGCTAATTCTGCCTTTAATTAATCGATCATATATGTAAAATAGCTATTATAACGAAAAATTGTCATACTTATAGATTGTATACATATTTTACTGTATACACGTATGCTTATCCTTAAAAAATGCCAAAGATTTATAGTAGAAGAACAAAAGTTAATGCCGTGTTTCTTTTAAGTGGTTGAAAAGCTAAAGCATTTTTATGTAGTTATAAAACGTGCTTGGGAAAGTTAAAATACGACAAGTAATTATTCGTAACTATTATAAAGATAAAGCATGTACAAGCATCTAGTTATATAAAGTTAACAATAGGATTTATTTATTCGAACAGAAGAACACCAAAACGGTCAGGACACGCCAATCTTTTCTCCTGAGGAAATTGCACAACCTGTTCCAAAATCTTCTCCTCCACCCACGTCTACTAAACCTAAAAAAGGTATGTTTGTTGAAATGATTAAATTTAATTAAAATCATCTTATGGACTTAATATGTAAAATCCTATTAATCTCATCCCTAAGATTAATTAGAAAGCATTTTAACGGTTTTCACAAACATTTTAGGCAATACTTTGAAGTAGTAATTTTCCCACATAAAACCACTATTTGTACGTATGTACAGTAAATATAGTATCTAATGAAATATTACATGTAGGTATTTATTTACACTTACGTATGTGAAATTTGCTTAGTTCTTAACTAGTTTCAATACTAAATAAGATGATTCACAAATTTTTACTATAAATAGTAGATTATCGAAATTGTTAGTTGCATTGAAATAACACTATATACAAGTTATATTTCCTTAGCTATAAGGTGAATGGCTTTAGGAAAAGCATCCAATAACCGTGTCATGTCTTTCTATACAATGTTTTAATTTGTGTTCAACTGTAACATTTATACATGATATTTTCAATCTTTTTCTGTATAAAATAGCGTATGAATATAACGATGGCATTCGTTTCTTGACATCGTGTTGTAATTTATATTCTGTTTGTCACGCCTGTTTTGACTTGCCATATACCTGTACGTCAGCATGAGTATCGGTAAGCATTCTGTTTATATGTTTGGATTTTTATCTAAACCAATTTGTTTTTGTTTTAATTGAAATATTTCAACAATATGGATTAAATTGTACACTTTTTTATTTTATCTACTATTGAAACAGCCATCAATTTTAGTCATTGCCAACCTAGACCTATTTGTCTGTATGAGAGACGAGAGAAGAACGCTGTATTAAAACTTGTCAATAGTCAGTTCGAAGAGGGAGAAGAAGATACAGAAAGCACCGTTGAAGAGGAAAGTTATCATTGGCAAACAGAGGACGATTTGATAGATTATTGTAATATTCTATTGATGTCTATCTGATGTATTATCTGTCGTATGTCAATGTCTTCAATCTAGTATTTAGGGAGAATCACGTTAAAAATTATAGTGCTTAAATCTATGTTTAGTTTGATATCTATTTACTTTGGATTTACGTCATCAAAAGATACCTTAAAATCTACTATGCAAAGATTGTATAGCGTCGAAAATCGGAAAAGTTTACTTAAAAGCAAGCGTTTTTTCTTGTAGAAAACTTCTAATTTTAATCAAATTTTTATCGAATTCTAATAGAATTTAGTTAATTTGATTTTAATGAAGGGTTAATTTCCGCTATTGAAGTTTAGATATTAAAACGGTTCATCAAATAATCAAGTCATCTCACGATTTTCTGTATTATGTTTTTTAAAAAAAAACAAAAGAAAACAAAAAAAGCATTAGATAGGAAAAAATATCAAATTATGCCAATTTTTTGTTGATTATTATATCGTCTGCTTTAATTTCCTATGGTTTAATGATTTTTCTATATTTATTTTTATGTGTTTCCTAAAAAGCTTCGACTACTACACCTACACTATCGCCTACTCCTACAACTACAACTATGCCATCGTATAGTGACGAATTCGTCTTCGGTAAGCTTAATATTTTTTCCACTTTTTATCACTATTATTATACTTTAACCTTGGAAATGTCTTATTTTTTATTTGATAGATCCAACTACTTGTCCAAATTACCAACCAATTCCTGATAATTGTCCAGAATGGAAACGTTCCATGCTCGAGGACAAGAACAAGAAATTGTACGAAGATGCTAAAGTGAGTAGTTTCGATTTTTATCTGCAATTAATTTACAGTTTATTTATTATTTAAACCCTTTCTCCTTCTTTTAAACCAGGAATTAATTTAATAAGTAAAAAAAAAATAAATTTTACCTACAGGCCCGATGGGAAACTGCTAGGGCTGAGGAGGAAAGATGGAGAGATGTTCCGGCTTGGAAGAAAAATTTAATTAAGCATCAAGAACAAAGAAAGAAAGTTGAAAATGTAAAATAACTATATTATTTGTAGTCATATGTCAATCTATATATATATCATATATAACCGTAGAGAAATACTTTGCTTTAAAAACATACAAATTTCTAGATATAAATTACTTTTCAACCTGTTTAGGCACCAGCTGAAGTGGAAAGACAAAAGCACGAAGCTGAAATGGAACGACTGAATAAGTTACCGGATTGGAAGAAAAATTTAATTTTAAAGAAAAGAGGAGAAATTGATTAAACAATTCAAACATCGACGAATTTCAAAAGAAAACGCAAGATCTATCTATGCGAAAAATTTGTACTTCTTTTAGTTTCTTCTCCGTTTATGATTATCTCAAATATTCCTTGGCTTAGTAATTCAATATTTTATAATTCAAAAAAAGAAAATCATTTTGCCTCTATCTCTTTCACGAAGAAAATCCCCTCTCCCAAAAAAATAAAAAAAAATACAAAGGACATGAATATTTATTAGATAATTAGAATATATTCATAGTCCTTTTTGCAATGTCTTTTTTTAGTCACATATAGATCATTAAAGAAGAAGAATAATATCAATTATAGAGAAAGAATTTTAAATTGGTAAATTTTCTGGTGCTTTAGTCATTATCACACTCCACATATTTCTATATATACAGTATATACAGTATACTGTATATACCTTTATGCAGTATGTTCAATATACAATTATTATTATGACTTTTATTTTATATTTGGAGGAAGAATGTCTTTCGTTTGTGTTGTGACAATAGCATATAATTTCTCAAATTTAGCATTTGTTTACAAAAAAAAGGCCTATGTATTCATTCAAGCGTCTCAATTTATAAACTCAGCAAAAAAAAAATAGACAAGAATGATTAAAATATATAAATAAATATATATAAAAGTATAATAAACTATATATAAGACTGTTATATATAGTTTGTATTCCCTTTTGTTTTTCCTGGCCTTAATTTTAGCTGTGATTACCACTGATCATTATTTTAAATGATGTATAGAATATATGCAGTATATCTGTATGCGTGCAATATTCATATATACTGTATTTTTAGCAGCAATCTAACCATTGCTTTCCTTTAATTTTGTATGATTTACGGTATATTATTTGATTTTAATAATTGATAGAAAGAGAATAATGTACACTGTTATACCCTCTTTTGAACGGATAATACAAATTCATTATTATACTTCGAAAGAGAATGGACTCTTTATCTAATAAGATTTTTAAATTGTTATCTGTTTTAATTGTATAAATCATGGAAACCAGCTGAAATGTTTAAAATTATCTTTACGAAATACTATCTTACAGTTAAAAAATAGTTTTCGCTTAGTCATACATTTATATAAAATATTTTATAGACGTCATGGAAAAGAAATAGAAATTATAGCCAATTCTTACCAATTTGTAATTAATAGTAAAATTCTAAGTAGCCTGCTGATTTAATTAGACAGAGTAAAGAATCTATATTTATATGATGAGTCTTTCTTCCTGATGCCCAACAGGTGAAATATAACAGCCCTTTCTCTTGTTCTAATCCCATCAATTCTTTTATGAGAGTACCTACATTAGAAACGATTGGATATGGATGTAGAGAATAAGTTTAGAATAAGAAAAGGGTATTAAATATAGAGAGTGTCGGAGATAGAAAGATAAATCTAGAAAAAACAAAAAATTGCCAATACGCGCAGTGTTTCATTATCCTTATTAGTAAGAAATCTCGTTATACCGACGATTAAAGTATCACATAATTTTCTAATATTGATAAGCATTACTGGATCAGTAAAAGTTATTCTAAAAATTGGTTGACTAGTTAGAATTTTAAATGTTAGATGGCGCGCATACGTTGAATTGACAGAACACTGTTTTTTTTAAAAAATCGATACCGATTTAATAAATATAAAATTGTTAATCGAAATTATCTATATTTTTAAACAATGTATTAAAACGTGGCTCCATCTAATGGTTAATTGACCAGATGGTTATTGACCTAGGCAAATTGAAAAAAAACGAAAAAAAAAAAACAATAAGTTTTCTTGTTCCATTTGTAAAGTTAATAGTTTTTATATTTATATATTCAGTTAATTAACTAAATGTATTTACACTTAATTATATCTTGAGCGTAAATATTCGAAAAATTAGAGTATTACACTGTATATACTCTACAGTATAATATAACTACATCTACTATTTATAAAAGATAATTTAATGTAAGACTACCTTAGTAAAGAGATAAATTTCCTCATATTTCATTTATTCTGATGCTGTTTTTGATTAACAAAAAAAAATCTATTTAATTACCAAACTAAAGAGAGAAAGTGATCGAATATGAAAAGGGAAACTCTTCTTATATTACTTTTCTTCTTTTTTGCTTCCTTCTCATTGCCATTAAATCACCTTTTCCTATCTTAAATAAGACTTATACATAGCAAATAATATATTAGTATAAACATACATATTGTATATAAATGTAGCAAGTTACTTATTGAACATGTACAAAACAAAGGTCAGGGATTTCTATGGACATGGAAAAGGATCTTGGCCTAAATTTTATTTGAATAATGCAAGTTTATATATTTATTATATAGAAATGGAATCATAAGTATGGAAAAAAAAGGCGACATGCTGAAAGAAAACACGTCTCAGGGGAGAGAAAGTAGTGAATTTCTGCGATCAAAATATTTTTATTGCGTTAATATCGGTAATCCGGTAGACCGAGAGCCATTACCGATATCGGCTATCAGGATGACGTTTCGTTCGGTTAAGGGAACATCGTCAATAATGACGGGAATACAATTTTCCACCCATATCTTTTCTCTCTTTTCTCTAGTAAGAAAATTCCATTATACCCTTCCTTTCCTTCCATGAAAGATTACCATTTAAACTATGTAACTCATTCTTAAAAGAATTTGTTGATTATTATTATCATAGCAATTGCAGTATTTTTTTTAGCTCTCTCTATATATTGAACTAAACAGATTAATCTATTTTGATATATAAAAAAGAATATAGAAATAATAATTTATAATAGATTATTTAAGTTAAGTATACAACTTGGACCTAAAATAAAGTATCTCTCTTTTCGTACAATATATAACCTTCAAACACCTTGAAGATATATGTATAACGTATATTCTTATAGATGAAATATGTAGAAAAATTGGGAATACAAATTGACGAGAGAGAAAGAGAGCGATGGAAAAAATGATAAATAGGTCATAGGCGAATTTTTATAACACTGTGAATTATAATACTTAACTTTCTAACCTATATATTTAATTATGCTTTTTATCATTTTTATATTTTTATGTATGTTTATATAAATACTGTAAAAATACAGATGGAAAGTTTTTTATATATAAAAATACTGTTAAGGGAAAAGAAAATACTAAAAAAATAGTAATAGAGAATTAAATTTGGTAAAAGAGAGAAAAATAAGAAATAACTACTTGTCAATTCCAAACGAAACACCTGTAGATGGTTTATACGTCTTGATAAGATAGATAACTTATCCAACAAAATTTTTTTATCTATTTTAAATTTTGAAGTGGATCTTCTGTATGAATGAAATAATGTACTTAATTAAGAATATATTGAACTTTTAATTCTCAACTAGCGATATAATCTTTTATTAATTAATGAATGTTTTATAAAAAAAACGAGACCGGTAATAAAAAAAACTACGAAACTCAGTCTGTAGTATCATCTTTTATTTGAGGTTTAATATTTCTTGTCCCAATTTATTCTATATTTCTTTTTTCTTCTTCTCGTTGCATAATAACATATAGATGTCCTTATGTAGATTCTACTTATTAATAAATGAAAATTATATTCCTCCAAAATGGAAAAATAGGGATGATATAGTATAGATAACGGGAGAAATAAGGTAGGATATAAAGGAAAAGGAGGGAGAAGATGATTGGGTTTCTGTTTGGTTTGCAACTAGAATTAGTCGAATTATAGAGCCCTTAGCTTCAAGATGGTAGAAATTTCGATTTAAATCGGTCTATAAAAGGACCTTAGAGGAAAGGTTAACGTTCTTGTCTTCCGGGACTAAAAAGTAGGATATTCTTCTGAAAAAGTAGGAGTTTCTCCCATTTCACGCTTTCCTTTGTTATTTATCTATCTTGATTAGCTTAGAACTCATGTAGTACTCAAATTCAGGGTTAGATTACAATCCTTATCATTACGGCACTCATCAAACAATTCAATTTAGCAAAAAGAACTTTATATTGTTCTTCTATTATCAAGACATTTTCTATTTACGTCATTACAAATCATTGTATTACGAATTACTTTTCTTTTTTTTATGAAGAATTTCCGGGAGTTTGATGCAGCCGGAAGATAAATAATCATAAGAATATTTCCTACGTAACATTATACACGTTACCCTGTCTATCTCTTTTTCTCTCTCGTTCTCCCTCTCTCCTCTTTCGTTGTTTGCCAATGAGAATAGAAAAAAAAAGATAGTATAACACACTCGCACTATTTTTCTGTTTTTTTTTATATGTAAAAATAACTTTAAATGGCACTGAACTTGCAATATTTTTGACGAAAGAACACTGTAGATGAAACAACAGCGTAGATTTTATATATTTAATAATACGATATTTAAAACATCAACCATCATATGGATATTTACCAAATATGACCTTTTAACATGATTAAATTAAGAATTAGCTCACTAGGAACCTTACTATTACCCGATTACAGCAATTTTTTTAATGCGTGCTTATTTAGTTTCTAATTTCTACTATTAGTCGCATTCAAGTATTTCCTATATACTGTATACTTTTATGTTACATATTTAAAATGATAAAATAACTATTTTTTTTAAAAAAAAATATTTTAAAAATGTTATCAGTCTCTTCGTTTTCACTACTGTTATGTGAGTAGTTCTTTGTAAATATATATAATGTCTATAGTTAAATATATATATATATATACATTATATAGATGTATTTATATATTAGTATATACTGTATATATAATAATCCGCCTCATTCTTTCTCCAAAGAAAAATTTTAATCATTTGGGAATTTCTTTAAGAAGATATAGAAGAAAAGTGAGAAATGAAATGAAATATAAGAAAAGTCATATAATGCAAATATTAATTCAGCATAGTTGATCTTCATTATTATTGTTCTATTTTAATAAACAATCGAAAAAAAATTCTAGGAATTTCTTTTCTTATTTTTTTTGTAATTTTCTTTTTTTCTTTTAGTCTATTCACTATTTCTCTT